ATTTTAGATAAAACTTCTTAGCATAATAATTTAAATTTATTTACAATTTATACGTCAGTGTTCAAACGCATAGTAATGTTGTTATGATAGATTTATAATAATAATATAATTTGTTATAATAGATTTCATGCTAAGCTTTTTTTTTAATTTAACTATTAATTTCTGCAAATATTTACATGATTACTTTAATTAACAAAAAATATTTCTAGCATACTTTGATACGGAAAAATCTTTTGCACGCCACTGAGCTATACTATAATTGATGTAATTTATAAAAAGTATAGCTTTACAATTATTTTTGATTTATGATATTATTGTAATACTCTTTCCTCTAATATTGTAATTAATGAAAGACGTTTGTAATGCTAATGTGTATGTTTACCAATACCTTTTATTTTCTTTGTTAACTCTCGCATTTATTACTGTTATTCAAGTAACTAGCCTGCTTGTTAGATATTCTTTACTTGTTCTTGTCATTGTGATATGTAATTGTATTTCTTTATTTTTATTTTCCTCTTGGCTACAATTGGCTTCGAAAAGTAAAATTGTAACCCTGTAGGCAAAGGGGAGAAGAAATTTTTATTTGCGCAGTTGGACTATATCAGGACGAGGGGGGATTTTCATTAGCGCAGTTGGAGTACACCCTTATTGATATGATGAACTGGAAAGGGGGGCAAAAACAAAGCAACAACAACAAAAAACCCCCAAGAAAACTGCATGCCAACACTTAACGCTGCATCGGGAATTCTAAACGTGTACTACTATGCTGGTTTTAAAATTTTTGTAATTTTGCAGTTGAATTGGATATGGCGAAGAAAATGATGCTTAATGTTAAAGTTAAAAAGACACAAAAAATGGGTTAGTAGAAGTGGGCGTGAGAGGAGATTGGTAGACTGCGAGAGAGTAAAAAACCTCAACAATTTTTTTCGGGTGACCGTTAAAAACATAAAGATTTCAAAATTTTTTTAATAATAATATGATTATTAAACATTAGCATGCATTATGTAGCTAATATTCATAGAACTGGAGGGGAGAGGTAGTTTAATTTTCTCAATCTTGAATTCTGTAAGTTATGTTTAATATTCTTCCTTTGGAATGTCTTGACTTCAATACTCAGACCAGTACATCCAAAGGAAGTGATTAAACACAGCTTGCGTTCCGTATGAAGAACGATGATCGATTGATGGGATTTATAAAAACGATAAACGTTTCTGTGTCAGAGGAACGGCTTTGTTTTCACTTTCAGCCAGTTTGCTACCATAATAGAAAAAACCCGATTGCAAGCAATTTAAAGAGCTTTACATTGGAATCAAGACGTCCTTCATTCCGTCCATAAAGCAACTGACATAATAAAACCATCGGAAGATTAATCCCGTTTCTTTTACTATAGAAAATAAAGCTTCTGAGAAGTTTCTTACGTTATGTATAAAAACTTTCCGCTCCGCAGCACTGCATCCTCGTGTATGACAAGTACTATGTTTGCCATGAGACGAAGTGATTGAACCATCCAGTTGTATTAAAACAGTTGCCGCTTTCCTAAGGCGAGATTAAAAACTTTAGCACTTAAAAAGATTTTGGTATTCACCAGATAAATTTCAACATAAGCCTGATTTTTTCTCTATTCTATTCTCTCTGGGTTTTGATTGATGGTAAAATTGGCAATCGGAAATTCTTCTGGCGGTAGTAGTTTTAAAAACTACTACCGCCAGAAGAAGGCGGTAGTAGGTTTTAAAAAATTAGCTTGCAAAAGCTTAGCTCCTCAATGTTAATTGAATTTGATATATATGTATTACTATCTTTTTTTTTTTTTTTTTCATTAAACTTATTTGAGCCTTTCTTTGATATTTCGAAATTTAGGTTCATTCCAAATAAAATTCGCCCATTTTTTATGATTTATTTTTATAATTTGTATTTTTAAATAATTTTTATAAATTTTTCGGAAAAAAAATTTGAATTATAATCCATTAAATTTTTACTATCATCTTAAAGTAGATGTATTTCTAAGCATACCTGCAAAAAATTCGAGTTTTTTATTCAAAATTTCAGATACATGAAAATGTACGTGAATTTATATATTGGCGCTTTTTGAAATTTGGCATATTTGTTGAAAGCTATAAAACATCATATGTGGTTTGGGCACTTTGTTAAAACTATTTGAAAGTAGAAACGGTGTGACTTTTTTCCCGCTCCTGCACAATGGAAGGGAAAAGAAATAGGTTGCCATGAATTAAGAAGTTCGCCAAGTGAATTATTCTTGGCGCAAACTTAAAAAAATGCGCCAAGTTAAATTTTTAAATTTCTCCGTAAATTTTGCACCAAATTTTACAAAATTTAATATTTAGGCATGATTTGAGTCGTACACTAGAAATATGGAAAAAAATTTTATTTCAGAAAAAGTCTCATTTTGTGTCAAAATACCTATTGTGATACTTCTTTCGCAATTTGAAGCAAACTCTTTTGATGGAACACAGCAAAAACTTTTATTTAAAACCCAAAATGGCGACATACAAACAAGAAGATAAAACGCATTCTAACATTTAAAAATAAAATAATTACATTCTTCATGCGAGAGCCACACGTAGCTCTCGAGCCTGCATTTCAAACATTGCCGTTAAATATACCTTAAGGTTCATCTATTTAAATTATTTATTTTAAATTACAAGATTTTAAAAACAATATTTATAGCTGCTACACTATGTTAGAACAATGCTATATATAAATCTAATATATATCCTAAGTCGCGCTTTCGCGACATGAAAATTGTAATTTGAATTTCGTCAATCGGCCCAGTAGAAAGGGAGATGTAGAACTGTCCCCCCCTTTTTTTTTCGCAGTGTACATGTGCCGCTAACGGTAAATTATTTTTGGAGGAAAAGTTCTTATACAAAGATCAAAAGAATGTAGAATGGCGCCCCTTTTGGCACATGTATTGGCACGTGATACATATACTTTTAATTTTTATAAATATGGTATAAAATGTAAAAAGTTTGAGAAACCTTCACGTGAGACTATTGTTTGTTTGTTTGTTTGGGCTGAAACGGGTCATAAACCAGTAGAGAAATGCCTCTCGACCGGGGAGGGTGGAATTTCGTAGGTTCACAGGGGAATGAGGTTACCATTTTATTTACCTGCAAAGTACTTAGTTTTGGTTTATGAATATAAAAACTACTTTTATTCAAAATTTTTGGCATTTGTCAACATTTTTAGTCCAAAGGAGCAATTTGCCCTGAAGGACTATTATTTTCGCTTTGGCATTTTGCGTTGGTTCACTATAAATGTCCGATTCATTTTTCAAATTGTTGCCACCCAATATTATCGCCCTTTATTATATTTAAAGAAATTGAATAATGAAGAATCTCCATGAATGTATGTATGTTTCTCGCATTGTGATAAAACAACAGTACCTAGAGCCATCCAATTTTGAATAACGTACGTTTCCACCCAAATATGGAAGCCCAAATTTTATCTATTTCATATTTTGGAAAACTTTAACGAATTTTTGATTAACAAACTCAACGACTTCAAAGTGACCAATGGCAACATTCTACGGGGGAGGGACCTTTTTATCTCCAGCGCGCGGAACTTTGTGTCGGAAATTCTAAAGATATGCTCATTTTAAAATTATTTTGCGATATTGCTGTTGAATTTGTATGGAAGATTTCGATGCGAAGATGAAGACATATTCCATCTTTGTAAATGTAAAAACAGTGGAAGACTATAAAAATGTTACCAGGATTCTAAAAACTATACAAGTTCCTTTCCACACTTATCTGATGGACCAGGAGAAACCCTTGAGAACTTGCCGAGAGCCTACAGAGGAGAATATTCTTGCTGACCTGGAAAGAAGAAATTTTCCAATGGTAAAACAGTTCAGCAAGAGGTAGGAAATACAATTTTGAGAAACTTCCGATCTGGCTGTTGGAGTTAAAAAGGAATAACAGCGGATACGCAATACATAATCTGAATCACATGTTCAGTTTAAACGGGATGACTGAAAAATATAATCCACGAAAGTACGGAAGAAGGAAACGTCCCACACAGTGTTTTAGGTGCCAGGAATGAAGACACTCCCAGCATTTATAAGTGTGGCGAAAATAACAGGAGCAACGTTTACCCTCTAAAAAAAGAAGATAAGCCCACCTGCATGTTCTGTGGAAAAAAATCATGTCTGCAGTTACCGTGGATGTGAAGAATATAAGAGGAAATTTCAGAAATTCGAAAAGAAGCAGCCCCCCCCCAAAAAAAAAGCAAAAAGATGTTGTGCGAAAAGCTGAAGACTTTCCACAACTTACAACTTTGAAAGAGACGGAATCCACAAGAAATGCACGATCGCAGTACAGCGAGAAAGCAAGAAAGAAAACTTTCACAATTCCAAAAGAAGCAGAAGAAGCCATAAGTTGGCTACGTGATGAGAAAATTCAAGAGTTTTTAAGCACCATTATAGAACAGATGGATAGAATCAAAAAAGCAAAAACTACTGCAGAAAAGCTTTCAGCTGGGTTTAGAACCGCGATGTACATAATGAAGACAGGAGAAGAGGAAATTTAAGAGAAAAGTCCCCCCCCCCGCAACGGAAGAAAATCAAGTCTTTAATTCATTTTTCTAAATCTATTCATTTCATCGGCAATAGGTTCCCTGTTCTCAAGCAGCATCTATCGGGGTGAGATTGGCATTTTTTCTATACGCATGTATTGTTGAATACATTCATGAAGTCATATTGCCCAAACCAAACCTAAATAAAATCATTACCGCTCGAATTATCGCGTCAAACTGAGTGGTAATCGAGAGTCACATCAAATTAAGTGGTAACCGAAAGTCACCTTTCGAGTACAAAGGGTTTAATGGCTTATGGTAGCTGATATCTCTTTTAATTTGCATTCCAGTTTGATAAATTTTATTTGATTTAGCAAACTTGAATGGATTTATTGATGTTATGTATTTTACTTTACCATCGTAGAATAAGAATATTTAAAGCATAAAACTATTTTGTATGATTTCAGGCGATTACAGTTTAGTTGCTGCAGTGTCTTGTCTGACAATGACGCCCAGGTTCTTGGAAAGGGTTGTTCCGCCAGACCAAACATTCCTTCAAGGCTACTGCGGAATTTTCCGGTTTCGATTTTGGAGGTTTGGAGACTGGGTAGAAATCGTTGTGGATGACAGATTGCCTACTGCGAAAGGAAGACCGCTATTTCTTAGATCTACAGATCCCAGCGAATTTTGGCCAGCTTTACTGGAAAAGGCTTATGCCAAGTATGATATATTTCCCATTCTTTCAACTTGGATATATTTTAATATGAATCTTATTTTAATATAATTCCTAATCAAGTATGAAATAAGGATTAATGAAATTGAAAATTTTAGCGTTTATTTTGATTAAAGTAGAAGTTTTGTGTTGCAGCGTATAATTAGGTAATGTTGCTAAGATATTCTGAGTAATTTTCTGTGATTGAACTGCAGTAAAAATTCATACGCATTTCTTAAATCGGTAATCTCAAAATTGTATTTGCTTGCAAATATTTCAAGACTTTTGTTGTGTGAAGTCCGAATTTGCATCATTTTCATTACGATTAAACACGAACGTGTATAACGAACACGAAAATCTATAAATGTCGCTCATTAATTTACAGTGTTCTATAATTCTTACTGAAAGATTTGAAGATGCTGTGTAAATTAACTATTTATATTTGTCAAAATGTAAGGTCGGTTACGAATTTTTGCACTAAGAACAATCGCTTTATTTGGAAATGCAGGGGGTTTATAAAGTCCCGGACCAATTTTGATGTTTAATAACTTATAAAATAATAAAGATACATTAAAATTAATAACATAAATGGTTAGATAGACTCAAAACGTTTCGTGACCCTTGTCAATGAACTTCCACGTGTGCCTCCTTCGTCGCACGGAGAATATCAAGTCGATATTCAATTTCACGCCAGGTACCGGCAAGCATGTCGGCATCCACAGAGGCTATTGCGGTTGTAATTCTGGCTTTTAGGTTATCCATGTTCGACACTCTCCTCCTGTAAACGTTGTTTTTTTACAAATCCCCAAAGGCAAAAGTCCAGCGGCGTTACATCAGGTTATGTGGGTGGCCAAGGAATTGGACCTCCTCGCCCAATCCATTTTAATGGTCATTCAAAGAACTACGAACGATGGTACCCCAATGAAGTTGGTGCACCATCTTGTTGCAAAAAGACTTGTGGCTGAAGCTCTGCTAGTTGTGGAAATACGAAGTTTTCCAACATGTCTAAGTATACGACTGATGAGACCGTCTTTTCTGTAAAAAAGTAAGGCCCAATGACTCGGTCGTGCATTAGTCCACACCCCACATTAATCTTTGGAGAATCCCTTTGTGCCTCACGGTATTCATGGGGGTTTTCAGATCCCCATATGCGCACATTATGGCGATTAACAATGCCAGAAAGATGAAAAAATGCTTCGTCGGAGAACATTATGCGCTTCAGAAATTCAGCATCGTCTTCTATCCTTCTTAGTATATCTGTTGCAAAGGCTATCCTCCTAGGCATATCGTCCGGTTCCAAAACTTGAACAATTTGAACTTTGTATGCATGCAGTTTTAATGTTTTTCTTAATAACCTTGTATACCGTCGAAATTGGCATATCCAATTCTCTTGCCGCTGATCTGACAGATCTTCTAGGATTGTGTAAAAACGTCTCCCTGACACGCTCAACATCAAAATCACTAGTGCACGGACGTCTGGAACGTTTCTTATCTGCGATACTTCCAGTTTCTAGAAAATTCTTTTTCCACCGCAAGATGCTGCTTTTGGATGGAGGATCTTTTTGGTAAATTCTTCTGCAATTTCTCTGTGTTTGCATTATGGATTTCGTTTCTATGAACCACCATGAAATCTGTGCTTTTTCTTGCGGTGTATGCATTTTCTTTAATATCCGGTCGAATAAAACATCACATACAAAAGTGCTAGAACAAACGCATCAAAAGTAAACATAACATTGTAATAGTTGCCAAAAACAAAAGAGAGAAAAATGCAATTAATAAGCAGACGATATTTAGAAAAGTACAGATATTTAGACTGGAAAATGAAATTATCTGAAATTAACCACACGCGCAGACGATATTTACAAAATTAAAGATATTCAAACCTGAAAAGGAAAATATATAAGTTATTCCATCAATAAATGCCATAAGTTTGTTTATATCTTCATTATTTTCATGAGTTATTAAACATCAAAATGGGTCCGGGACTTTATAAACAACCTGTATAATTATATGTCAAGAGCTTTCTTTCACAGTTGAAAATTAATATGGAAAGACCAATGAGCATCTACAGTCCATGATAAATATAATTTCTAGTAATTTCTTTCTAATGCTACATATAATTTTCTTTAAATCTTGAGATTATATGGTTCTGAAATACCTAAATTTTCTCTTAACTGTCTTTACTAGCCCTTCAGCGGCCGAGGGTTTTAAGCCGCTGAACACAGGTAGTTTAGTCCGAGGTTCGAGTCCCAGCTAACTGGGTCTTGCTGCATGGGTATTTTCGTAGTTTCTATCATGTGTAACGTGAATATGAGCCAGTTTTCCCTGGAAAGTCCTCTATGAAGCGTCCCTTCCTTTCCGTGTAATGGCGGAGCAAGTAATAACACAAAATTGGGCTTACTCAACTTGGCTTGAAATTTATTTAAAAAAAAGTGTATATAAGATTTCGTTTTCAGTATAACAACAGCCAGATGTAAAAAATGGGAAAGAGTAAGGTGATACTTCTAAAAGAACATTGTGTAATGAAATGTAATATTATTTTTATCGTATAAACTGCTGTAAAAGTAAATGATTCATAGAGATATCCGAGAACAAATACAAATATCTGTCAAAATTTAAGATTTTTCCAACCAAATTTAGGCAATTAATAGTTCTTTATTTATTTCAAATAGCACTTATTATTAAAACTAACATAGCTCATGAAAATATTAATTAAGCGTACCTTCCTTAAATAACGTACCTAACTTTATTATACTCGAATAAGTTACGTACTACTGTATGTAACTTATTCAATTATAATGAATACTTTATTAAACTCAATTTTTGCCTTACTGAAACCATATGAAAAGTTGGATATTTTATTCTTAGAAAGCCTCTTATCTACATTGTTTAAACATGTTTTATACTCTCTCTCTCACGAAACTTATAATTGAAAACGGGTATATAGGATTAAAAATTTAAGGATTGAAATCTGTGGCCAAATCTAAAAACACTTTTTTGTTATCACCTTATTGTAACCATGAGTTTCTGAGTTTTTTTTTCTGGGAAGTTATTGTTTTGAAAAATGTATTTATAGCTAAGCCGGGCAAATAAGAAAGATACGATGTGAGAAACTAAAGTTGTTTTTTGAAAGAATAAATAGTTTAAGAATTACTTTTGCAATAACTATAGCTTGAATAATTTAAGAAATTAATCTGTTAATTAAGAAAAAATATTAAATTCAAGCTATTAACTAGGAAAATTATAATAGGAATCAATTCAAGTTATTAATAAATCCAAGCTAATTAGTAAAGTACATTAATAAGAATATTAATTAATTTATTAGTCAAGTAAATTTATTAAACTAAAGCTATTAATAAATACATTAATTAATTAAGAAAAATTCATTTATCAGCCTATCAATCAAGAAAAAGTATTAAATTTAAGTTATTAATGAAGAAGATGACAATAATAGACAATTCAAGCTACTAAATAAGAACGTTAATTAATAAAATATGTTAATTAAAATAATTAATTAACATATTAATCAAGAAAACGACAAAAATTAGTCTATTAATCAAATAAAATTATTAAATTGGAGCTATTAATCAGGAAAATTATAATAAGAATCAGTTCGAGCTATTAATTAAGTAATGAAAAAATATATATATATAACAAGAATTGATTTAAGCTATTAATTCATAAAATTATAATACGAATCAGTTCAAGTTATTAATCATGAAAGCTAATTAATAAAATGCGTTGCTTAAAATAATTAATTAATTTCTATTATTCAAGAAAAATTATTAAATTGAAGCTAATTCAGAAGTCAACAACAAAAATCAGCGTTATACCTACAAAACATTTGCACATTTCAAACATTCATACATTTTGTAGGTATAACGCTGATTTTTGTTGTTTGACTTCTGAATTAGTATTTATTCGGCGTGTTATTGTGTCTTAATTAAATTGAAGCTATTAATCCGGAAAATTTTAATAAGAATCAATTCTGTTTGTCAATCAAGAAAGCTAATAAAAAAATCCATTAATCAAAAAAATAATTAATTAATCTATTAATCAAAAATTATAATTAAAATTTAGTCAAGAAAACTATTATTGAAGTCAAAGCTATTAATCAAGAAAAATATTATATGCATAGATAAATGCTTATTTATGGGATACATTTGATGTTTTTTTTAATTGCGTTGCAGGCTTTATTTGCTCAGTATGTTTTTTTGAAATGAAGAAAAACTTTCTAGAAAATCTGAAAATTCTAACAATTTTTTTAAAAATATTTGTTGACAATTCGCGTAACATTTCCATATTTCTTAGGTTCTATTGCGGTTATGGCAACTTGCAAGGAGGCAGGACGTCACAAGCTTTGCAAGATCTGACTGGTGGAATAGCGCAAAATTTCCGGATATCCGAACATGATCCTCACGTTATGTTCCAGACAGTCAATAGTTCTGTCACCCGATCTACCCTTCTTGCTGCCACCATCCATACGGTAAGTAAATGAAATAATTATCTTTAGATGTCAAAGATATCAATCACCTCATTCATTTATAAATCCAAAGGGACTTTGTCCCTGAAGGACTATTGTTTTCGTCTTGCGATTTTGCGTTCAATCACTTTTTCAAACTGTTGCCACCAAATGTTAGAGTCCTGCATTATATTTGAGTAAATTAAATAATGAAACATTTGAATAAATGTATGTACAATATTGTTGCGTGCGTACGGGTTCGTTATGAAATGAATGCACAAGTCCGATGAAAAATGAACAAAAATTTATTATTATCACAACAAAAATGCTTAAATTTTCTCAAATTATCATGCAGTATTACAATATCTCACAGCAGTTATCTTTTAACTACTCAAATATCCAATAGAACGTAATTCAAAACAGCTAAAGAACGCTAATCCGCGAATTCGCTACAATCAACAACAGTAGTTTTCTAAACAACAACAAACTAAGCAACTACTACAAACTGAGATGTTTTCCTCCTTTTATAAGATTTTAAAATCACGCGCTAGAATTTTCCAGTACTTTCTCGAAATCAAAAAGAGATATTTATTTATTTAATGCACGCGCTCTTGTATTTTCAATTTTCCGGCTTAGCTTTCTTTTAATATTCGTCACGCGCTGCACTGCGCGAGAAATAAAACCATTTAATTTCTAATTGAACTAACATTAGCTTTTTAAATACCAAATTCGTAACACTGACTGCCCCCTTCCCAAGGACTGCACGTCCCGGGCAGTACAATCCCTGGACAGGAAGCTAAACTTACAACTGTGGCATAAATGCATTAATAAGCATTACATTACAATAATAAACAACATGAACAATAAATGCAATACATAAAACAAATCAAATGCTATCAAATACAAATCAAATACACATTTAAAAAACAAAATGGACCATGGTCTTATACTATTTACAATTATTTACATTATGTACTATGGCCATAGTAATGAGCTAACCTGTCGTAATGAACGACTTTAGGTTTAGAGTTCGAAGACTTACGAATCCGAACCATGACGTCATTTAGCCTGTTTAGGATTGTGTGCGAACCATCCCAAGGTGACTGTAAATCAGGCTGACTCCTTTTCGTCGAATCGGGTTCCACAACCACACCTTGTCTCCTTCGTTGGATCTATGTCCCAGCAGCTCTCGTGTTGTATCTGGTCTTCCACTTCTCCGTCGCCAAGTTCACTCGCTTTCGTGCGCGGAACGGTTGCATCACTTCAAAACGGGCCTTGACATCTTGGATGTGTTCCTCAGGCGATGAAGGCGCATCCGTACGGCGATGAAACAGGCGGTCACAAGGCAGACGAAGGTCTCGACCGAAGAGCATCTGAGATGGAGAATAGCTGGTAGTCTGGTGGTTTTCTTTTCGACCCTAGCATGATTTCGGCTGTTTCTCGAGCTGGTTCTTTCGGACAAAGCGTCGGCATTTCCAGGTGAGGATCCCTTCTTAGGATGGATAGTTATGTCTTCAGATCCTGAAAGCAGTTTGTTTTTTTTCAAGTCTAAGGAAAAATTGTATTTCCTTAAAAAGTCCAATCCGAGTATGCATGGATCTGTAATATCCGCCACATATGCCGTGTGATGGTAGCGCGGCACTTCCAAACGTGATGTTTACGTTTAACTTCCCAGTTATGTCGATCTTGTCACCAGACGCAGTCTGAAGGTAACACAGGATGGCGTCCAAATAAGTTTATCTTTAAACTGTTCAGCTAAATCTTTCCTAATGATGGTAACATTAGCTCCTGTGTCAATGATCATTCTGCAAGGAACTCCATCGATATTCCCATTGATGGACAGTCCGTTATTGTTGCCACTCACTGTATAAATTTTAAGAGCTTTAAAACAAGGTTTTTCACTATCTGGCAACCTCCGTTCCTCGATATGGTCACTAATTTGTTTACTGCGTTGTTGCTGGGAAATGGTCTTATTTTCCGTACCTCGGGGTGTTCTGCAGTTTCTTCGTATGTGGCCTTCAACTCCGCAGTTCCAGCACTTTAGAATTAGTTTCTTTTCACTTCTGTTCCGTCTCAAGCCACTGACTTGTCTGGTAAAATCATCTGCTTTATATTCCGTACCCTGGGGAGTTCTGCAATTCCGTCTTAGGTGACCTTCACTACCACATCTCCAACACCTTAGAGCCACTTTCTTCTCGCTCCTACTACTCCGTATCAAATCTTCGACTTGTCTGGCTAAATCATCTAAACGAGCCATCAGTTGATCCACTGGCTCATGGACTCGCACAGCTCTAACTGGGTAGCGATCTCTACTAGTTGCTTGCTGGGCTGCCTCGAACTTCATGGCGTACAACAGAGCGCTTTTTAATCTTTTACAATTTACATCCGCCATTCGTAGAGCTTTCTTCTGTATTTCAGTATCTCGGATGCCCGTCGATAAAGTATTGCAAGGACAGGATTTCCCTTATTTCTGTCGGGCATTCCGAAAAGGCGAGATGGGACAGCCTTTCAACATCCGCGGGCGAGCTCCTGAAGTGTTTCGGTAGGCTTCTGTTGACGAGATTTTAATTGGAGCCTGCTGTAGTCTTTTAAACACTTCTCCCCAAAGCGCAACTCCAAGGCGCCGGACAGAGCTTCGAAATCTAACCTTTTGTTTTCGGGAAGAGTCTGCAGGATATCCGCTGCGTCGGCTCTTAGAGAAGCGGCGAGATGACAGGCCTTAGCTTGGGAATCCCATCCATTCGCATCCGCCACGATAGAAAATTGTGTCTTATACACCTGCCAGGAGGTCTTCCCATCATATGTGGATAGCTTCAGAGGTGGACGAGCAGGCATTGGTAAGAATTTAAAATCTAATCAGAACTCCTGCTCCCTGCCGACGCTACGAATCTTCTTTAAAGTATCAACGTCTTTAGCAACGGCTGAAACCCTATCATCAGTTTGCTGGCGACGGCAGAAACTCTCTCATCAATTTGTTCTTTTACAGAAGAAACTCTTTCTTCTATTTCTTCTTTCACCGAAGAAACTCTCTTTCTTCAATATGTCCAACTTTATTTTCAACTGCGTCAATTCTTCTGCCTTCCATAGCTTCAAATTTATTTTCTATTATGCAAGTAATTTCTCTTTTCATTTCTTCTTGACCAGCTTGAACGGCTTTCATTTCGTCCTTAACGGATTCCTGGCCCAATTTCATTTCTTCCTTAACGGATTCCTGGCCCAATTTCATTTTCTTCCTTAAATGATGCTTGGCCAGCTTCCATCTTTTCTTGGAATGCAGCAAAAGCACTAATGAGCTGTCTCAATTGTTCTTCTTCCATCGCTCTTGTTATTGGCATTCAAATCCCACTTCTGACACCACCAAAATTGTTGCGTGCGTACGGGTTCGTTATGAAATGAATGCACAAGTCCGATGAAAAATGAACAAAAATTTATTATTATCACAACAAAATGCTTAAATTTTCTCAAATTATCTTGCAGTATTACAATATCTCACAGCAGTTATCTTTTAACTACTCAAATATCCAATAGAACGTAATTCAAAACAGCTAAAGAACGCTAATCCGCGAATTCGCTACAATCAACAACAGTAGTTTTTCTAAACAACAACAAACTAAGCAACTACTACAAACTGAGATGTTTTCCTCCTTTTATAAGATTTTAAAATCACGCGCTAGAATTTTCCAGTACTTTCTCGAAATCAAAAAGAGATATTTATTTATTTAATGCACGCGCTCTTGTATTTTCAATTTTCCGGCTTAGCTTTCTTTTAATATTCGTCACGCGCTGCACTGCGCGAGAAATAAAACCATTTAATTTCTAATTGAACTAACATTAGCTTTTTAAATACCAAATTCGTAACAATATATTTCTCGCATTGTGATAAACGATACATAGAGACATCGAATTTTGAATGACGTAATCCTCCTATGAATATGAGCATGTGGAATACCCAATTTGAAATTTGGATTTTTTTTATGATTGATTTCATATTTTGTAAAACTTTAACGAAATTTTGATTAACAAACTCAACGATTGCAAAGCGAGCAATGGCAACACTATACGAAAGAAAAAAACATTTTTATCTCCAGCGGGCAGAACTGTGTATCGCAAATTCTAAAGATAAGCACATTTTAAAATTATTTTGCGACATTGCTATTGAACTGAATTTTATGGTTTAAGTGCTAAGAACATGATCTCTACATATAATAAAATAAAGAGTTTGTCTGTGTGTTTTTTGTTCGCGCTGCGCGTAAGCTAATAGACCCACGGCTACGAAATTTGGTACATAGGCGCATCTAGACAAGCGCCAGTGCATTCCCAAAGCGATTTTCGAAATTCGAATTCTAATTTTTTTTATTTTATGTTTTGTAACGAAATCGCGTCATTTTGAGACATAATGTGCTATAGGGAAGCGAGATTTTACTCTACACATTCCATTTTCACATCGTCATGAAACGTAGGCACTTCGCTATTTTACGAACTTAAAATAAATTTCGTGTTTCAATAAATCAATTCAATACGAATTTATTTAACAAAGGGAGCATAACACCTTTTCAATGGGATTTTTTCTAAAAAAAGTTTGTTTTTAAAAATGTACAGTTTATTTTTCTTTGATTTTTGAACACGTTAAACTTTCATCCTTGCGACTGCTTTTACAAAAAGAATTTTGGAAAAATGATAATATTTTGTATTTTTAAAAATTTTTTTAAATGAAGCTTCCGAGTACATTTCTCAGATCTCACATCTTTCAAAATGGGATTTTGGCAACAATTTTCCTGTTTTATTGTTGTTGATAGATTTTTGATTAAATCGCATCATTTTGAATAATTTCATTCTTTTAGAAATATGGGTTTGGCAACAATTTTTCATCGTATCTCTTATGTCACTGTTTTTCAGAGATTGCCATATTTCATTGTCATTTATATATATATAATACATTTTTATTGATTTTTTTTATATAAAATTGTTCTGCGCGGAATTTTATGTTTTTTGAGTTGCTTTCATGTTATTTTTTTGCTTATTTCACTGTTTGTAAGATATTGAAAGGTTTTCCCTTCAACGGAAGGTTGGATAATTTTTTATTAGGATAAACAATATTAGGATTAAGGGATATAGCTCATTTCATTGTAATTTTTTTCTCTTGAAAATATAAGATAAAATGTGATTAATTATACTTTGCTTTTCAGAATTTTTTGTTTTTTGTATTCTTTTATGTTATTTATTGCTCATTTCACTGTTTTTAAGATATTGAAAAGTTTTTGAGAGATTTTTTTGGGAAACAAAGTTCTTAACCTCCTTTATACCATTTGAGTTCTTAAGATTTTGCAAAGGGAAGTTGGTTAATTTATTTATTAGGATAATAAATATTTGTATTAAGGGATATTGCTTATTTCATTGTATTATTGTAATTTGTATACGGAATATATTATTGTAATTTTGTTATACGGAATAACTTTTTTTACGAAGTTGTTCTACAGAGTAAAATTTTACGCAGTTTTTTAAATTTAACGTTTGGTGTTCCCTTCAGCCATTTTTCCGGTACATTTAAAAGCCTGACGAAGGCTGGTAGCCAGGCTGCTAGTATTTAATAAATAAAGATAACACACAAAACGTTAAAAAAACGCCCCTTTGGGCGTAATTTAAAATATGAAACTTTTCATATTTTGTTATTATTATTTTGTTTACTCATTATTTATTATTATTGCAAATAGTTTATAAATTTATTAATATTCAATAAATTCCTGTCTATTCTTCAACCTGGCAAACAGGAGCATCTCTTTTCTATACTTGACAGTGTGGATGAGACCATCGAGAGTTCGGGAGGCACCGATAGTCTCGTCCACATTGTCGTCATATTTTGATGTTCCAGTCACTCTGATGATGCTGGGTAATGCGTTTTGTGACTAAGGGTATATTTCATTGTTACATGTTACAGATTTCTTTTACACGTTGGCTGTAACTTTTTCCTTCTTCTAAATATCACGATTTCCGAATTCTACAGAAATTCTTCATTGCAGAATGTATGCTTTTTATATTTTGTTGTACTAATTCTCAATTTTTATTGCGATTATTTTTTACTTTTTACAGGACCAAAGATCTCCAGTGCGGCTAAGAAATGGATTGGTAACACAACACGCATACTGCATTACCGGACTTGCTAGAGTAAGTAATCCTGTGTTCAAAAACCTCGCGAAATACTAGTTCTATCATATGCACGAAACTTACAACAATCGAATTTCGCTTTTATACTGCCAAAAGCAGAGTACGCAAAGGTATTATCGTACTCTCTATAAAAGAAAACATGAAGTTAATGTCATCCTGATTATGTAGTTCGTGTTGTAATCCAAACTGAATTAATTCATCTTTCGACTGTTCAATGATTGAAACGATTTGCGATTTAGAGCAAAGGATGTTCGAGGAAAGAAACTTAGATTGTTTTCAAAAGAAATAGTTCCCCTGTCGTGCAAACATCATCTTATTTATCAAATTTCTTATCCTCTGCACCAGCGGCCGAGCGGTAAAGTCGCTGAACACTGGTGGTTCGGTCCGAGATTCGAATCTCGCGAAAGGGCTGGCTGCATGGGCGTTTTCGTGGTTTTCCCCATGTGTAACGTGTATACGAGCCAGTTTCCCTTAGAAAGCCCTCCACGAAGGCATCCCTCCCTTTAGGCAGTTAGCCCTATCAAATTATCGGGATGATGCCTGTGATAAATGAGAAAAGGAACTTTCTAACAACGCTTATAGGAATGTTCAGTTCAGTTCAGTTGATAATGAAGGGGGGCACTTAATCTTTACCAGTGGCTAACAGGTATTGTTCCACATTCGTAATTTACTAGGTTTATTTTACTTTTAAATAATAAAAAAAAATTAAAATCTGAAAGGTTTCATATTGTACCGGTCGCCCAAAAGGGTTTGTTAATGGTTTTGTCTTTTTAGCTTTATTATTAAGCATCATTTTCTTCGCACTTACAAAATATGCAATTCAATAGCAAAATTACAAAAATTTTAAAAGCAGTATAATCGTATACGGTTAGAATTCCGGATGCAGCGTGAAGTAATTGGCATATATTTTTCTAATCTTTTTTTTTTCAATCTTTTCTCAGTACATCATATCAATGTTCAGTTTTCTTTCTAAGATGGCTTCACAGAACTTTTTTTGTCTTTTCATTACTAACGTTTTGTGTGTTTTCTTTACTTATTAAATATCGCGTTCTTGGACCTTACGCAACATAAATTTCGATTCAACAGAAAAATCAACCCTCACCCCAAAAAAAAACTGAAAGCTTTTTAAAAATAGCATAGTATATCTTTAGTATTTCTGACAGGCAGTCTCGCGCACTGGAGATAAAAATGTTTTATTTCGCACAGTGTTGCCATTCCTCGCTTCGAAATCGTTGAGTTTGTTAAAGTTAATGTTAAAGTTTTAGAAAATACGAATTAGGTGATAAAACAAATTCGGGATTCAAAATTCGGGCTTCCAGGTGTGGCCCATGTTCGTGTGGAGGACTATGTTACTCAAAGCTGGATGGCTCTAGGTACCGTTGTTGTTTTTTACAATGGGAGAAACATACATGCATTCATGCAGATTCTTCATTATTTAATTTCTTTAAATATAATACAGGGCGATAATATTTGGTGGCAACAATCTGAAAGCCGTTTATAGCGTTTCAACGCGAAATGCCGTTTCGAGACTAATATCCCATTCACGACTAATGTCCCTTTTGGGGTAATAATGCACAGTAATAATATAATTCAGACTAATGTTACTTACTGGAATTTGGGGCTTTTGGTAATATATAAAGCCTAATTTATATTATTAATTTGTAATGCAGGAAACAAAACTGGCTTTAAACTAAAACGGTTTTAAACAACTATAAATCTAGCTATGAAAAAAACTCGCATTTTAAAAGCTGTAATTAATCTAAACAGAAAACAGATGAGTTAAGAGGGTACTTATGTACTATCACAAACGCCTTAGTAAAAGTCGCCAAATAATCAAAATTTGCCAAACTCTCTCAACTATGTGCATAAATATCTTTCAAGAGACTAATAACATCAAGAGACTCATGACAATCCTTCAGTTTATCATTTTCGTATGCATTCTTTTTGTGATTTATATTCGTTTGTCTTCAAGCACATTTTGTAGACAATTCGCGATATTTTTTGCCGTAAACTCAATTTTAAAATGTTCGCTCGTGGAATTTGCAAACAATGCGGAAGAAAACTGCGGTAACATTTTTGCAGTATTTTGCCTCGAAATCGCTAAAAAGAACGATGATGAGACCGTTGTAACATATAGCCTGTTAGCAATGTTGAAGCTGTGCGTGTTTCCGGGTATGTGCAGTTCTCTGATGTTTACTCTTGCTTGCTTTGTTGTTGCGAAACTATTTATGTTAGGTTAGAAAACGTGCGCGTTACGCAAAAACTCCGATAGATGATCGAAAAGTAATTAATTGATATTATTAAAAAAAAACTAGTGCAGTGCATTTATCTCTCTGCTGCATCCATTTTTAGCACTACATTTATAAAACCACTCCACTCTTTGAAACGGTTCTTCGTAACTACCTTCACAGCTTTAACAATAAAGCCTAGAAACGTTTTCAATCATTCTTTAATTGCTGAAATGGTACTTTGTTCTTATTTCTTTACGATGGGTGCAGTCATGTTATTTATTATTTTCGTCATGGAAGTTGAAGCGTTGCCTTCACGTGAAGAGTCTTTTCATACACACTTTCTCTTTGAACATTAATGGTCCCGAAAATCGTTTATTCGTGATATTGTTTCAGCCTGATATATCCCTTACGAAAATGTCTTGCAGAATTCTTTAAAAAAAGATTTTTGACTGAAAAAAACGAGACTGGTCCAATAAACCATTGTACTTACAGAATCAGTTCCCCGTGACATGATCACCTTCAAAGTAGTTCCCTTCAGCATTCACACATTTCTGCATTCGGTGCTGCCATTGCAGGTAACAGTTCTGGAACGAGGTTTTTGGAAGGCCCTTCAGGAGATTCTCCGTTTTTGCCTTAACCTTGCTTATTTCACTGTTTGTAAGATATTGAAAAATTTTGAATGATTTTTTTTTCTTCAACGGAATGTTGGTTAATTTTTTAATTAGGTTAATTAATATTTTTTGCTTTACAGAATTTTTTTTTTTTTTTTTTTTTTTTTTTTTTTTTGTATCTATGTTATTTATTGCTCATTTCACTGTTTTTAAGATATTGAAAAGTTTTGAGTGATTTTTTTCTTAGGAAACAAAGTTCTTAACCTCCTTTATACCATTTGAGTTCTTAATATTTCGCAAAGGGAAGTTGGTTAATTTATTTATTAGGATAATTAATATTTGTATTAAGGGATATTGCTTATTTCTTTGTAATTTTGTTATACGTAATAACTTTTTTATGAAGTTGTTCTGTAGAGCAAAATTCTACGCAGTTTTTAAATTTAACGTTTGGTGTTCCCTTCAGCCATTTTTCCGGTACATTTAAAAGCCAGCTGCTAGTTGTTGATAAAGTTCTGTAAGAATTTCTATAAAGCTCTGTCAACCACTGTTATAATTTTTCGTAAGGGATGTTTATGTCTCCTACTGGTAAACACACTGGTTTTGTGTGTTACTGTGTAAACACACAAAATAGTTCATTAATTACCTCTGTTCTGCCATTGCTTACATTTCAAACAAGTGACTAAAATGGAGGCTGTGAGCAACCACGTTAATTTATACCTCAGCTTTTAAAGGTTAGAAGTACCATGAAAGGCCAATTAATTTTCTTTCATCACAACAAATCATGATGCTTCGTTCAAAAAATAACATTTGCTTCTGAGCTTTGTGCAAATTACTAGGTGTGGTCGATCTTCTCAGTGTAAAAGCATTGCCTGCGTAAATTTTACGGTATCTGTCAAGTTCCCGTAATTGGTAGATTCGTTAATGAAGGTCGTGATCTCTCTACGCCCAGTAATTTGTATGCTACCAGCAGAAACAAAAATGGCACACTTGAGTGGCTGGCAGCGTATCTATTTTGAATTTGGTGGAAACTTCCTCATCGCTTCCCGTCACGAAATTAGCAACCATTTTACAATTAACCCTTTTACAGGTCAGGACTCGCACGGGCGAAGTTCCCCTCATTCGTCTGCGTAACCCCTGGGGCAAAGGCGAGTGGAACGGACCGTGGAGTGACCGGTCGTGGGAGTGGGACAGTCTACCGGAGAGAGACCAGGAGCTGCTTAGCGTCAGAATAAGGAACGATGGAGAATTCTGGTATGTTCTTAACAGTTAAGATGGAAATAAATCTTCTACTCTGTGGTTATTTAATTTAAACGCCTTCAATTAAAAGCATTGTTTTGATTAGCATAAACTGTATTAAACTGACGTTTAATTCATTTCTTGTGAATTAGACCACATAAACACACACACACACACACATACTATATCAGGTTGTTCAATAAGTTCACGGAACGGAAATGAAGAAACCAATTTTTATTTGTAAAAATGACTTTATTTTTCAACGTAGTTTTCCTCAACTTCAATACACTTATTCCAACGGTCTTCTAATTTATGAATCCCTTGACTGTAGTGGTTTTTCGGCAGCTCTGCAAAATATCCCTCCACGGCAGCTATTACCTCTTCGTTTGAAGAAAATCGTTTTCTACGGAGATATTGTTTGAGGTGTGGGAAGGGCCAGAAGACGGAGGGAGCTAAATTTGTCGAATAGGCTGGATGTTGCAACAATTCGTACTTCAATTCAGTTATTTTAGCAATGGTTTTTTGAGCTGTGTGCGCAAGTTCGTTATCTTGGTGGAAAATGATTTTCTTCTTCTGTAATCCGGGTCTTCTTTCACGAATTTATTCGTCTAATTGATTCAAAAGATTACAATATTAATCCGAATTAATTGTTTTGCCAGTTTGAAGGTAATCTATAAACAAAATTCCTTTCGCATCCCAAAAAACTGATGCTAACACCTTCTTCGCTGATTTTTGCGCACGAACTCGCTTCGGTGCCGAAGAGCCGGGTTCACACCACTCCTTAGCCTCTGTTTTGATTCAGGATCATGATGGTAGACCCAAGTCTCATCCATTGTGATAAATCGACGGATAAAGTCGCTTTTATTCTTCTTAAAACGCTCCAAAATGTTTGCTGGTAAAGTCGCATCATCTGAATGTGTTTTTGCTCCATCGTTAGAGAATGCGGCACCCATTTTGCACAGAGTTTTTTGAAACCCAAATTAACACCCTCAAAATATTGCTCACTGTGCCCAATGAAATGCCTAAAGCCTCTGTTAAATCTCTTTCAGTCAATCGACTGTCTTCCAATACCATATCTTGTATTTTTCCTGATGATTTCCGTGTGTTGATGCAGTTTTTGGACGTCCCTCTCGCGGATCGTCTTCAAGGCTGGTACGACCACTTTTGATTAAACTAGCCCACTTGCAAACCATTGTTTTTGAAGGAGCAGATTAGCCCAACACATTGAACATGAATTTCCATTGCCTTTAAACCTTTCTTTACAAAAGAATTTGATAACTACACGTTGCTCAATTTTATCCATACCTGAAAAAAGGCACAACACGTTAGATATAAAGGTTGGTTAAACAATGAATAAATTAACAGATCGAAATGAAGCTTTTGACGTGTTCCTAAGAAAGAACAAATATGAAAATGGCGTCGAAGTTTTAGGTCTAATATTGAGGAATAGTATATGGTGCTCCACGAACTTATTGAACAACCTTGTATATTATATATAAATAAATGAATAAACACAAAGTAAAAACTTATTTCGTTGCACCAATCCCCGATGCCGATGCAGCGAAAGATGTAAATTTCGTATTTTATTTTTCGTTTTGGCATTATTACCCTCCCCCCCCTCATTTCTTGCAGTTTGTACTGTGTTCCTGGTAGTTTGGTTTTTGTTGCTTTTATTCCGAAATTGCATCTGTGATGAATTTTAAACCTATTCTTTTATTTTATTTTGAATTATATGCATATGCATATATATTTGAATATATGGCGTATATATACATTGTTACGAAATGCTCAGCAGCGGTAAGATAGCTTCCCCGCAAAGAGGGTTTAGGGTTTAGGAAAGACAGAGTTGCCAGATTAGGCGCGAAATCTTCAATTTGGCCATAAATTTGGCGATATGCCATAGACGGAGCGAGAACATTCTAGAACGAATTCCTTCCGGTTTTCTCGAGAATGTTCTCGAAGGCAGGTCAAAAGCTATATATATATCCTGCCTGTACGCGTTGTATGTTGAGTTCGGAGATTAGCTCGAGAGCGATCGACCGAGTCGGGAACTGTTCTTTAGTGCTTTGCCGTGAAGCTGTCTTCACCGTTATGGCCTGGTAGCCTGAAGGCTGTGTTGCTGATTGTTTCAGCATGTTTATCGTAGTTTTTCGACGACTATCACTCGTCTTTAGAACTGTCTTGTGTAATACTGACAAATAAATTGTATTTCGATTCTTCATTAAGTGTTGTCGTTAATCACTCCAAATCCGCGAACCTGTAAAACGCAACAATATATATATATGTGCGCGCGCGTGTGTGTGTGTTTGTCTGTCGTGTTGGAAACTTCCCTTAATGTCATTTTTGATAAAGTTGTAGCGTTATCTCCCTGTTCTACATGCTCAGAAAAAAGACATCAAATAAAAATACCTGTGCGAAATATTAAATGCATTTTGTATAACTGTAATCTTCAGAATATTAAAACCATACCAGAAATTCGTTTTTGCTTGTTTATACTGAAGTTTATGGGGTTTTACTTGATCTATAACTGAGTTCACTAATCCCAACAAACGTAAAGCGAATGATCGCTATGCCTAGAATAACTCCAAAGTCGTGGAAAAGGCTTAAACAACCTTTTTTATTTAAACAGAATTTAGAATATAAATGCACTTTCTTGTGCTAACAATGCCAGTAACATCCCGTGGTGATGCAATTGAAAGAAGAGTTAAATTCAAGTTAAGACATGAAATAGTATGGCAAAGCCTACGCAGTTTAAATATACTCTAAATTGGCTCAATAATTCTAACCGGAGCGTCAAAATCAATATGTCGGCGACGAATATAATGCGAAGCAGAATAATTACAACTATCAGAGCTGGCAAGAACTAAATGTAGCGTGCACTCGCAGGCAGAACACGCTTTCTTTAAATGTAGAAATTTAAATTTAAATATTAACTATCTCATTTGCATTCTTTGTGAAGAAAAAGGAAAGGCGAAATTATAGTAAACATAGTTAATTTAAAATTATAATAACTGGTTAATTTAAATAATAACCCCACAAGTTAACAACTAATGGAAAAAAAGAAAATGTATTAACATCGATCAAAAAGGGCAATGTGTTTACTTAGAGAATATGCCATAAACGTAGAATATCGCTGTCTTTGTATAGAAACAAAGAATGTCTGCCTGAATATGGAACTTAGATTAATTTATATACACTCATGTCCATAAATTAAGGATAATGCAAAATCAGGCAAAGGAAGAGTTAGAAGAAAAACAAATTTGACTTATTTGTAAAGCTTATTTATTAAACAAAAGGTAAAGAGCAAAAAAAGATGCTATATGTGTGATATTATTGAAAAAATTAGAAATTTTTTCTCCCTGGAGCAAATCACAAAAAAAAAAAAAAAAAAAAAAAAAAAAAAAAGCACCTATTTACGAAAAACCAATATTACATGGTTGGTATGATTGTTAATACAGTGTATGTCTCCCAGACGATGCAATACAGTCCATACAACACCTAAGCATACTGAGTATCAAATTATCGATCTGATCTTGGGGGATATTACACCACTCAAAAGGCAATGCTCTCCGAAGTTCCGGTAGACATGTAGGAGGAGGTTAGCGGGTTGCAACTCGTCGGCCAAGCATGTCCCACACGTGCTCTACTGGATTCAAGTCTGGTGAGAATGCTGGCCAGTCCATACGGGTGATATCCTCCGATTGAAGGCATTCGCTTACGATGTTTGCACGGTGAGGACGGGCGTTGTCATCCATAAGCACATATTGTGCGCCCATGACGCCCCGAAACAAAAGTACATGTAGTTCCAGAATGACGTCCCGATAGATTTGGCTTGTCATGGTTCCAATATGAACATGCAGGTCAGTTCTGGAACCCAGAATAATTCCACCCCAAACGAGCACTCCTGCACCACCGTAACAGTGGCGTTCAATGATGTTTCTTGGTGGTAACGGGTACCTGGAGCTCTCCATATGAAAGTCCGGCGAGAATCAGACTGCAAGCTAAACCTGGACTCGTCGGAAATCATCACACAAGCCCACTGTTTCGGTGTCCACAATGAATGCTCTCTACTCCAGGCTAACCGCAGGCGACAGTGAGTTGCAGTAAGTGGAACGCATCTGACAGGTCTACGAGCATATAGACCAATCTGCCCTAAGCGTCTGTACACGGTCTGCCTTGAAATTGTCGCACCAGTGGCTGAAGAGAGCTGACGAGACAGGTCTGAGGCTGTGCTCCGCCTGTTTGTTTTGGCAGTAACTGCCAAATACCGGTCCTCATTCGGCGGTGTAACTCTGGGGCGACCTGTGCTGTAACGTCTACTCACATTACCATCATCTTGGAATCGTTGCCAAAGCCTGGAGATGACACTCCGGGCAATTCCAAGTTCGTCTGATACTTCCAGTTGGGTACGCTCACATTCCAGACGGCCGATAATTCTACCACGTAAAAAATCATCCAAATGCGTCCTTTGTGTCATAACTATTCGGTTATTGCACTGGAATGCTTATAAGCGCCTGCGAACAATTTTACTTCTTTGGCTATATTCCTTATATATCACTCTCGTCATTGTGATGTACTATCGGTGTCATCTGGTTACTTCCTGAAATTTGCATATGATTCTTGAAGATGTGGGTAGTGATTTTACAGGTGATATATTTATTTTAGAGTTCGATTTCCGCGTGACTCCGAATTATCCTTAATTTATGGACATGAGTGTAGAATACACTAGGTTTGAAATATTTAGTATATATGCTACTAAAAAACAATTAATATATAAATATTTGTTAAAAAGAAGCTGACGCAAAACTTCTCATTCACTCGAAGTAATTGATCGAAAGTGTGAAATTTTAGACCCGCTTAGTATGATGAGGCTTTTGCTGTATTTAGAAGCTTCTATCAATGCAGACCCACTAGACTGGAAGATGAGTTATCGCTGTAACCTGGAATAAATGACCAAATCTTAAGAAGGTTAAAATAACTTTTTTTTATTTAATTCTTAAATTAACGGAAAGACACTGCTTGTACGAAAGATGAAAATCCACTGTTTGCGGTTATTGATATTAACATTAGACAAAATAAAATTAAACCCCCTTAATTTAAATTCAAATTCTACGAAACTAAGCGATAGATTGCTGAAATACAAACCAGACAAAGCCATAGATACAATGCTTCTCATTTCAGTTAACAAGTCGACAACATAGATGACGAATTACGTTTATTGCTTTTTGAATTGCTTTGTTTGTTAATCCGTAAAAGCTTAAATTAAAATTGGAAGAATAATTAAACACCGTAAGCTCCACCGCATGGCAACACACTAGCGACTCGAAGACAAAAATATGTTATGTCGGGCAGAGAAGTATGTTGATTAAATATGAAAGAGAAATATCTTAAGTTTGTCTGAGTTCCCTTTCTCGTGTTCGGGTTGAAAATAATAAAGTTCAAAAATAATAAAGGTGAATAAAATAATAATAAACGCTAATATGGGAATTCTGGAGTTCGAATTCCGGCGAGGACATTTGCCAATTTCTTCAGTTCAGTTCAGTTCTTGATATCAAAAAATTCTAAAAGACTGTACATTGGCACCCGAACTAAAAAGGTGATGGACGATAGTTCCTCACAACGAAGATCTAGCGACTTGGCTCCCACATTCCCAGTCACTGTTTAAAAGGGGGGAGTATATGAGGTATTTTCTCACTCCTTTCCGCACGCTTTCATGATATAATTGGAAGCACGCTCGACGCATATTCGGGAGTTCCGGAGTTCGATTCCCAGCAATGGCATTGCACATTTTTTTACGTTTCATTATATAAATGAAGATATAATCTAATGCCTCTACAAGCTCAATAAAATAACGATAAAGCTCAAAAATAATAAAAGTATAATAAAGCTCAAATAATGATAATTCATATGGTAAATAAACAAATAAATAAAATCGGTATCTCTGGGTTCCTCTCTTTTTCCCTAACGCGAGAAACAAGCATATGCAGACTCTTCATCATTCGATAACGCAGATTAGTTTTTTTTCTCCAAATGTGATATGCCTCTGTATAAATATGCCTGCATCTTAGAAACGTATGAGGAAGGTTTTGATTAGAACAGAATAAAATGACATCTCCTTAAAAAAAGTTGTTTTTTTTATATTAGAGTGTATTAGAGCATTTATATCAGCTAAATTATTTACAGTTCATATAATTTACCAAGATGCGCCTACCTATAAAAACACTTCATTTCTAATTGGTAAAAAAAATATTTGTAATAAATCTTCTTGAGTGCTAATTTTGCTTCCGCTGCAGGATGTCCTTCGAAGATTTTCTTCGGAACTTCACATTCCTGGATCTTCTCCATGTAGGCCCGGATGACTGGATGTTGGAACCCTCCCTGCACAGCAAGAGGCCTTGGAGAGCTGTACTGGCTCGCCGTAGGTGGCGAGTTGGCTTCAACGCTGGAGGAGGACCCCAGTGCAAAGGTGTGGTACATTCTGACGACCATCCCTCGATGTAACTAACCTGAACCGGAAGAAATACGTGATAATGCTATTCTGCTGCCACCAATTCATAATTTGAAACATAAATAATGATCCTTAATTTTTATTTTTGCTTTATAGAATACTAATGGAAATGAACTTGAGAGCGTTGACATTAGTTATAATTTGTAACTTTAATTTTTAAAGTGGTTACAGTATTCTGAATTACAGTCAAAAGACGACGACAACGAGATCGTATTATCAGTGACGTAGCTAGAATTTTGCTGCCGAGGCGGTCCATTTTCCACTCATCCCAATGTATACAAAGAATTCAAATCTAAGCTGCCACAACAACATATAGTTAAGCTTCGTAAGAATTCAGATAGATAGCGTTATAAAATTTCAGATCTATAAAATGTCAAAACGGCATGTAAAGTATCTGTGGAAAAATCCCCCAAATGATTTATGTATCGCCGTTAGAGGGCGCTTCGCTTCTGAAAAGGAATGTTAGTTTTTACTTTGCGACGTAGTTAGTTAGCAGTGAACCTTCGATGCAATCCAAGTTGCTTTGTAAATAAAATGATTATTTTTGTAGATTGTTGAAGTATTTCACTTCGTTTAGAATTAGAACCACCTTTCGCAATAGTATCGAAACGACAAATAATATTTCCAAATAATGTCTATGTTAATTTGTGAACTAGAATTCAAATTCCGACATCTTAAAGTGCTATTTTGCTTATTTTCCTATTAGTAAAACTTCGTCGATGACATTCTAGAAGTTTGTTTCATTACTCCAGTTGTTCTTCATTAGATAGTTCAATATTTAGTAAATACAAAATGCTCACTTTTAGGTCTTAAGTGCGTGCTTCTTAAACGATTTGTATCTAGAAAAACTTTCCTCAGTTGAAGTAGTATTTGCAAGAATTATGACGAAAATTCAAAGTAGAATTACAATACAGTAAGACCCCGCTTAACGCTGTTTCGTTTAGCGCTGTTTCCGTTTAGCGCTCTTTTATTTCAACCCGGGGATTCCACGAAATCGCTCGCAGCATACGGGGATTCCTCGAAATATTATGCAGCGATAGGTTTCAAATACATATCCGAAAGAGTGTACTTGTATTTCTTGGTTGGGTGGCGGTATTGTACAGACATATTTTGAAGGGTAAAATGTGGAAGATGTCGAAGAAATAATTCAAGAAGCAGCGGCTAGTCTTTCTAATGATCAGCTCAAGGAATTAAAAGAACAAGAAGAAACAAATATTTGACAGCAGTGATTCGAAGAAGAGCAAAAGAACTTTCGATGGCCTTTGTAAAAGGAGTTTGTCTACCATAACTGAAATAATGGATCAATCAATTCATTGAAAATGATCCGAATTTCGACAGGAGCAAAACTAAGGCGGGTGTTAGAAATGCTCTATCCGTTTTATGAGAACTTTTAGAGAACAACGCAAAAGAAAAGGCAAACAACATTAGATACTTTTGTCACAAAGGCAGAACACTGAAAAACGCGGAAGGCTAACTAAATATGACTGATTAGAATTTTATTTGTTTTTTTTTTTTTAAGAATATGTTTTTGTTTTTTATCTTTTGTTTTTATTTTTGCAAGAAAAAATGGGTTTAATTTGGCTTTAAAAAATAAATGTTTTGGTTTTATTTTTATTAAAAAAACATACTTTTTAAATTTAATACCTAACCAATTTCCTAGCCATCTCCCCTAACCCCAATTTTACTGCAAGATAGCCTCGTTTAGCGCTGTTTCGCATTACGCTCTACTTTGATGGAACGTATCGCCGCGTTAAGCGGGGTCTTACTGTATTTGGAATTTCGGTTTGGAATAAACTGGTTAATGTAACAGTCCAAAGCGACTTTTTTTCCAACTCTCGATTTTATCTTCCTAGGCAGTAACATAAATAAAACTGTGTAGTGTTTCTCAGTAAAGAACTTTTTCTTTACTTATAATATTAAGATCATAATTTAATTGTCATTCATATTTTTCATTCAATACTTTCTATAGAGTAAGGAAGGCATAGCACAAAAATGAAGCCATTGAAGTCTCTTTATAAAAAACTTCTTTGAATATTCCGCCTAGTGTAGAAAGAATTGTCTCTTCAGTGCAGTTTCGTACCACAATTTGGCAATCCGTGATTCTTCACATGACCAGTTACCGAGTGGATAAGATGGCTGACTATCGGTAGTTCGCCCTGATCTCAGATCCTAAAGAACGGGTGGCTTACCTCATGGCATTTTTGCTGTGGCTTGTTTTGAGAAGTTTGGATTACTGTGGCCCATACAGCTGTCTCAATGGAATCTGATTACAAAGTATCACTAACTTCCCTTCCTGAGTTATCGATATGGAATGGGTATCTGCATGCCTTTGTGGTGTAACGGTAGCGCACTTGGCGTAAATTCGAGAGGTCCATGTTCGAGCCACAGTGAGGCCATTGCACATTTTTCACGTCTTCTTGCTTCAACCTAATGCTTTTACAGGCTTAAACAGATAAATGCAATAAACCTTCTCTAAGGCGACCAGTCATGATGCCAACTCATTTTTGCTTCCTGTGGAGGTAATTGTCACAGAGATATGATTCAGGGCCGATATTTAGTTAGATTCTCAGATATACATGTCGGTTTCAGAGATTGAGGAGGTGGTCGCCACGAGAGAGTTCACTGTATGTGGCTGTACAAACCGTGTAAAGTCATTACTCGGCTTTTATTGGCTTGTAGGCATAATAAACCCAATTATAAAATTACATTAAATGGTGCATATATCGATACCTATGATCAGGCGCTTTAAAATTTAAAAAAAATTAAAAGAATTAAAAAATTTATCATTTTATACGGTATTTCAGTCCCTAAATTTGTACTGAGGAAAATTTTATACTTCTAAATATCGGATGTGGAAACTACATGACTTCCTTGTACGGCCTATCAAATAATATGTATTTTTTGCTGCACTTCATTTAAACTTATGTCCTAGAATTTCATTAGACATATATTTCTTATTCAATCACTTCAGTTCTAACATCGCGGCAAAGCAGAAATACATAAAAATTCAAAACATCTTCATTGAAAATAGTAAAATACTGAAAAACCTAAAACGCGAAATACAGGTTAAAAACAGCTAAAAAAACAACTTTTACAATTAAAAGTAGTTTCTATGAAAAAAAAAAAAAAAAAGGACGCGGGGGGGGTAAATCGATTATCGGGTAGGAAGACAAAATTTTCAGTGTACAAAATGGAAACTTTTGATTCCGCTGCGAAAAAAGACGAAGTTGGTGCACCAACTGACTTAATTCACTATTCTACTGAGTTTGAAATGTAAAATAAATGGCGGTCTGGTTAGGCTAGCGCCACTTTTAAATTGTTGATAATTCTATAACTATTGCTATTGCATTATATAACTAAAGGCATAAGAAACTTTAACAGGAACGAAAAAATAGCATAATTCTATCAGCTCACCGAGCAGGGTAAGGGTTAGTAAGGATACATATATATGTATCAGCTTTAGTCGTAGCTTAAATTATCAGACGATAAGTTTAAAAAAGAAAAACAGGATCCATTTATTATTATTCAAGAGAAATATCAGTTACAAAATCAGATATCCGGAGTAAATAAAAAGAATTACTAATAACTTTTTGTATGAAGTTTACTGCATCGTGACATTTAAGAAAAAGCACCCGATATTCCTTTGCGAGTCCTTTTATAGCCTCTTGAAAGGCGGAGCTTCCAAGAAATGACGTCAGCCTCGTCAGCCAATCCAGTTCGCTTTAAAATTTTCCAGAACATTCTATAACTGTACGTGCAGAAAAGGCGGGAAAACAACTTGACTACGGGGCTGTGGATTTAATTGCACGTACTTTCAAATAAGAGAACGTCGCCATTTAAAATGAAAAGAACATACAGTTAGAATTTTAATTGTATTCTTGGAATTTTATTATTACATGTATATACGATACGATAATACGATAAGTTTAAAAAACAGGATCCATTTATTATTATTCAGGAGAAATCCGGAGTAAATAAAAAGAATTACTAATTACTTTTTGTATGAAGTTTACTGCATCGTTACAAAAAAGACCCCGATATTCCTTTGTGAGTCTTTTTTATAGCCTCTGGAAAGGCGGAGCTTCCAAGAAATGACGTCAGCCTCGTCAGCCATTCCAGTTCGCATTAAATATTTCCAGAACATTCTATAACTGTACGTGTAGAAAAGGCGGGAAAAACAACTTGACGACGGGACTGTGGATTTAATTCCACGTACTTTCAAATAAGAGAACGTCGCCATTAAAAATGAAAAGACATACAGTTAGAATTTTAAGTGTATTCTTGACTATGGAATTTTATTATTACAAATATGTATACATACACACCTTTGGTGCAGCCTATTGCAATGGAAAAAGGAGGTGCACAGCTAGATATTATAGCGGCCTCGTATAGAACATTTCAACACTGATTTCATTTTAAATCCATTTTGCAATCTATTTTGGCAAAAAATAGTCTTTTTTTTCTGGCCGTACATACTAATGCGACGCAAAATTATCGTTCAAATGAATTCGAGAACGATCAAAATGGATATTTTCATCGAAATATGATACCCGAAATTTTTGTCGGTTACTTTGCTTCGTACAAGGAAGTAAAAACAAAGCATTTGATGCCGATACGACAAAGGTTGACCGAGATATTTGATTTCAAAATATGGGATATTTGACGTTATTTTAAGCTTGCTTTGTGGGGTCAACAATTAAATAAATTAGAATAACTCGTGGACAATTTTGCCCCTTCAAATACCATCCAGTCATACTCTTTTGTGATTTTCTAGAGTGCAATCTTCTTTAGTATGTAATTTTGTTACAAAAGTCTTGCCTAAAAATTTTCACGCAAGTAATATTCAAGTTTCCAAACGCTTAAAGTATGTTATTAATTTTCTCATAAAATTTCATTACTTTAAATTCGTAACTTAATACTCGTACAGAAATTTCACTAAACTTGAAAATTTTTTAATTTTTAATTTATGCAAAAGACGTTACGAGTTGGTTATGTGCCAATACTGAAGCCTGTTAGGGTTTTCCAAACGCGAATTGTATAAGATTTTGTGAATAAGATCTCTTTTTTTAAAAAAATTATAATGATAGATACTTTATTATGACAGCTGCGCAGAAATGCCTATGATTTAATCTATTAATATCAGAACCCTTTTTCGAAACTTGTGTTTTATTTTTAGTTGCATATAAGCGCAGATAGTTCGATTTGCAAATTGGGTACGGCTCCTGAATATGACCTTCAATTTTAAAATGGAATACCTTGATCAGTTTTCTTCGTATGATAATCGCACTTTTCTAGTGAGGAGAAAGTTTTGCAAATAAGATATGAATCTTTGTGTTATTTAAAACATTTTTATAACTATCTACGAGAGGATGCGAAAATAAAGGCCACATAAAACTCTTGTGTTCGTGTTGTATAAACCTAATATAATTACTATAAATAATTTTTATTTTGATGGTTACAAATTTGAGTCAGTGTATTAACTGGATAATTTCATTCTTTTATGAGTAATGTTTTGTGTAATAATAATATCAGAAATTTTTGTCGTTCAATTTCCTTGTATTTGTTTAGATACAACTGCTATGAATCCCCAATTTCGGGTCCATATAGCGAAAAATGGTGCCAAAAAATGTCACGTGGTGGTCTCTATTTTACAGTGGTATGCATTAGGAGCATTAAGCCTAGAACAGAATAAAAAGTGCCCTTTGCTTCCATTAGGATTTACAGTTTACGAGGTAAGGTACATTAACGAGAATTTCTAGATTTTTATCCAGTAAAGTATTATTTCTAAAATTTGAATCTAATCTTCGAATACTGGCGAAGTCTTTAAATATTATAAATGCAAATTAAGACGTGATTAAAAATTAAGCCTAAAGTTTAAAGATATCTTTCTAAACTGCTGAAGTAATTGTAGTTTAAGTTTTAAAATATTTAACAGGTTAACAGATAAATTATAAGTAAGGCATAGAAAACTTTTTGATATTATTTTTCTTCTTATAAATGGAGTGAATAAGCTACGCTTACAAAAAAATTTAATACGGGTTGATAGAGCACTAGATAAATTCATGTAGAACATTACAGGTAATTTATAAAATTCTAAAGAAATTTTATAAAGCCTTCATGGAACAGAATCCTATAGAAATTTTATAAAGCATTTATAAAATAATAATCTATAGAAATCTGGAAAGTTTTTCAACTGTAATCAAGGCATAATTTCTGATATATTACATCGGATATTACGGTATATCAGACTTAAGTTTATAATAAAAGGTGTTTATAGGAGCAAGAATAAACACCTTTTATTCTTAAGATTTTTGAGTTAAATTTTTTGCCTTTTTCTCTCTGGTTTAACATTTGCAGCTTCTCAATTTATGTGGCATTTTGTATAATGTTTTTGCATAGTGTTGCTTACAAAATACAAAAAGGGTATCTTACATTGCACAAAATCAATTTAGATCATAACATTAATAAACAGATTTAATTTATGCTGGTAACAGTAAAATTTTAATTTTTTAAAGGAATGCTTTGAATTATTGTATTCATGTACCCCTGTTTAACAGAAATTGTTTCTTAATTTTAATTTACTAATATTTAAAATGTATTTATTTGTATTTAAATAATTTTTAAAATCAAACGATACTGACATTTTTTAAATAGGGAAAAAATCACATCTCTTCCAGAAGTTTTTATTTACCCCCGTATGTATTTTAGATCAGCATTTCTCAAACTTTTTCAGGTGCGGACCATTTTTATCAGAATGTCCTGAGGCCCATCTTCTTGTTTCCTTCGAAAGCAATTTTTTTATATGTTGCTACCAGTATATTTATCTTTTAAAAACGTATAATTTTATATCGATATCAAGTACTTAGATTAGTAGAACAAAATTATATACTTTTAAAAATAATTCAGCGCTATTAGAGTTTGAATGATCTAAAAATTAAATGCTGATACTCATTTTAGTGAAATGGGTGTGCCTATCGATTCTTACACAACTGTCGTTTAATTATATTACTGGTAAACTTAAGTCTGAAATCAGGAAATATATCAGCTGGATTTCATTATTTTGATTTCATATGACTTTTGATGAAAATCTTTTATCACACAGTTATGTAGAAGCGAACTGACTTGAAAGCACAGTTGTATAACTCATTATATCCCGTTTTCATTCATAATCCTTCGATATCAAATGTTCAGCGAAAGGATGGCGAGAAGCATCACAGTCATTGTGGTCTAAATCCCTTTTTTATGGCTAACACTAGAGTTGGAAATCCACTGATAGCCTAAGAGGTAATAAATTTCATAAAATATTAGTCTAAAGAGAAGAAGACGGTAGACGACTTCTATGTGTAATTTCACGCAGTAAATATGAATTTTATTTTTTGCCTTTTTTTTGGGGGGGGGGAAATCTTGGAAGACCACAAGGGCTGCATCAAGGCCTGCATATTAAGAAACACGTCCCAGATCATTTCAAAATTTAGGTTAAAATATTCTATTCAGAAACAAAAATTTAATTGATTCTTTTTCAACCCAAAAGAAAATTTTGCTGATTTCAAAATGCCTTTACATACTCAAGAGCTTTTAAGGGATCTTTTATAGGAATACTTCATAGAAATATGGCCCAAATTTCTATAAACTGGGTCTGATATTTTCAGTAGCATTCTATACATATTCTATACGCGTTATTTATATAGTACATATTCTATAATATACATATTATTTAAGATTCTATGCGTGAAACCTCTGGGAACTGTATAAATTATTATCAGAATCTATGCCGAAATTTCCGCAGAATATCTTTATATATATATGTACAGACTATCGGCACATAGCTCTGTCGAAGGTATGTCCATATTGTTTCTTAATTTTATGAAAGATCTCTGACGTAGTCTATAGAAAACTGGACCGAAATTCTAAAGGATTCGAAAAACATTTTGGATTGTTTTTTGTAAAATTCTATAAGGCAGTGTTTCTCACAAAGTTAAAGATGGCAAAAGGTCTTCGAGCAGAATGGAATATATTTGACTGGTTAAAGTTCACTTTTTATATGGGAAAAAATTAAGTTTTACTTCACACTAGAAAATAGAAATTATTTTTTTGCCAATCCAATATAAGTATTACTGTAGTAACATATGCAAAAAAATTGTTTTCGAAAGGTACTAGAGTAAGATTATCCGCAGAACATTCTGATTTGTAAAAGCGGTCCTCACTTAAAGAAAGTTCTGGAAACGCAGCTCTAAGGCATTTCAGTAAGGGCTATATTAAGAAAATACTGAATTATGTAATAATTCAGTATTTTCTTATTTCCTAGCAGTTCTGAAAGGAAGATAAGTTAAGAAAAAATTTCTTTTTTTGTTTCAGGTACCTCCGAACATGGCACGAATCAATACCCATTTCATTCTCACTCATCAAGCATTGGACGTCGTAGTTCATGCTCCAGTAAGGGAAGCCGTCATATTCTTCACTCTGCCGCCTGGAGATTTCGTGATTATGCCTTTTACAGTGCAACCTAACTGCGAAACCAAATTCTTACTCAGAATCTTTACAGACGAAATCAGTAACATTTGGTACTTACATAGCTTATAATCTCATTATTTATTCAATATTCTTCTAGCAAGATAATATTTGATTTATTATTTAGTATACTCATCATTTTGATCAGTAATTGACCTTGTTTTTTTTAAACATATTTAGTTGCGAAAGCCATTTATTCGTTTTACTTTATAAGTTTTTCATCAAAAGAATCAATCTCTTACGTACGCCTAAACCGAGCTTTTTTAATATCCTTAGCCGAAGAGTGTCTTTACTTCAGATTAATATCTAATTCCCCCCCCCCAAAAAAAAGTTTACACTTGTGCTTATATTGATACGATTTTAAAACTTTAAGCATTAATGATTAATTACTCTTACTGAAAATAAAGTTTTAATTTTTACGGAATGTTATAAAAAAAGACATTCTAATAACAGCCTGTAAAATATCAATTATTTAGAAATATATGCAACACAGATGATGAAAATATTTAACATAATTAAATTCTATCGTCTTGTAAATACTTTTTGCGATTTAAAGCTTCTTACTTCTTGCATATGGAAGAGACATCTTCTCGAATGGCGCATGTGTTCTTTCAAACACCTGCCTAGCTGTCCTTCCTTAGAACACCTGCTGTGTAAACGAATTTTTTTCTCATCAAAGTTGTCTATCTTCAAATAATTATTCGTCTTCCGGCTCACCAGTTTAATTTAAGGAACAGATTTGCATTGCTAGTTTTCAATCAGCTTTTAATATATTCCTTCCTTCCAATTAGACATGAAGGACAATTAGTCTCCGTTTTGCTTACTTTCTGGTACATTAATTTACAGAAACATATTAGTTCAAAAGATCACACTGGAAAACTTACCACCTCTTAAGAGTGTTCAAAGTAGCTCCTTTCAAACGAAATCCCAAAGATTAAATGCTTCAAATGTTCCATTTCTTCAACTGATGAAAAGTATTCTTTTAGAGCCTCATCAGACGACCACGTAAATTTTGTTTTAGATTTGAAAATCGAGCCGTAAGTCACACATAGCAAGATCCAGAGAACAGGATCTATCACTTTGAATTTTTTTTTCTTCTTCTTCTTTTTTTTTTTTTTTCTTTTTTCCGAAGAAATTCAACCTTCTATCTTGGTGTATGAAAACACGCATTATCATGGTTAATCATGAGTTCTTTACTATTCATTTATTCAGTAATGTATGGAACAAGTTAGGTTATTTTAAAATTTACTTACTTTTAAATTTAAATTGTGTCCTTTACTTTTAAAACTGTGCATTACTTCTTGCGTTGCTCGTTCTCATTTTACTTGTGGATGGTTTGGGATAATTTTCAAAGATACATACTTTACTTTTTAGAAATAATGTCCACCATCATTAGGTAATTTTAGGGTTTCTTTACTGATTCTGATTCATTCCGCTTTTTAGTGTTCTGTTAAATTAACGGCGATAAAACGACTAAGTAATTTTTACTACCAGGTACGAAAAAAGGAAGTATTGTAATCAGTGGCGGCTCGTCAGCGCCGATAGGGATACGACTCTTCAGTCCGGGAGCCCTTCGAAAGGAACCTAAAGGTTCACGGATGATAATAAGCACTGTTGAACTGCAGCACCCCCTATTTTCATTTATTATTACTTTTAATATTTAATATAGTGTGCCTTTTAGTCTTTAATTCTTTCTTTATACTTTTGCAATACATAATCCTTAAGGTTAATGTCAGTAGCCATCCCCCAGTGAGTGAAAAAGGTACGAAAGTGTTTGGAACTGCGCGCTTCACAGTTCCAGCGACATGGCATTTGGCTGTTCTGCGCATGCGCACACAGAAAGCAGCACGCGAGCCAGGTAGAGAGAAGAGCACTGCCGCTCCTGCAGTGCCGAAATTCTGGCATGTTGTTGAAAACGTGATTTCCTTTTACTCCGCATGTGTGGTATTCCTCCACAAGGTGGAACTTCATCATACGGACCATAAACAGAGTTCATGAAAATTTGCAACTTTTAAAAAATTGCCTTACTAAAATTCAGTCAACATCAAATGCCACCTATGCCAAATGCAAACTATTGCAAAAGCAACAGGAATTTTAAAATATCTAAATGATGATAATTTCAAGTTTTGGTTAGAGCTTTTGTATCAGATACCTCACGTTGAAATAATATTTGTATATTATGCAATAGAGATAAATTAGTGTGTTTAAAGTTAATGAATATATAACACATTTCAAAACTGCTATTTTAAAATTAAGAAACTCAAAGTACTGGATTAATTTTTCAAAGACACTGATGGCAGAAGCTAAGGAAATATGTGATTTTATATTATGCATTGATATAATGCACAGATATTCTTCCACTAAACACTTAGCAGCTGCTAAATTGTTTAACGAGAAATGCTTAGTTTTAGGAATGAACATTCTACAGAAGAAATACTACTGACCACTGAAGCATATCCAATGATTGACGAAGAAGAGCTTGAAACTGAACTAAAAGTATTCTATTGTAAGTCTGATATCCATAAATACTGCAAATTAATTGGGCTATTGAAATTTATCTTCGAAAATAATCAAGATGATGTTCTTAGTGAAATTACGAAATTGATAAAAATTCTCTTGAGAGTTCCCATGACTACATCAGAGGCAGAACGCTGCTTTTCAACATTGAAAAGAACGAAAACTTTTCTAAGAAGCACTAGGAATTCGGAAAGACTAAATGCGCTTGCATTGCTTTCAATAAAGAAAAATTTCCTCAGTTGTCATCCACAGATCAAGGAGAAAATTATTGATCTTTTCGAGCAAATTAAAACTAGAAGAATGGATTTCATTTTTAAATGAATAGACAAAGATTGAACTGTAACAATTTTGGTTAAAGTAACTAAGAAATGTTTAATTGTTTTCTTGTAAGATTTCATGAAGTTTCAAAATAAATTTTCTTTTTATACATGTTTGTTTCCTTTTACGCAATTTAAAACAAAGGTTAAATTTTTTTGGAACAGCACCCCCCACAAATTTTAGCCACGAGCCACCACTGATTGTAATCGCAAAAAATTTCGAATAATTCAACGGAAATACACATCTGGACCGTTTCTGAATCCGTTTGGATGATATTTTTTTTTTATTATTATTTTTTTTATTTATTTACTTTTTTTTTTTTTTTTTTTTTTTTTTTTTTTTTTGTGTGTGTGTGTGTTGTGTGTGTGTGTGTGACGTCTGTACATACTGATAGACTAAAGGGCTCGTTTTTTCCAAAACAGATTTTTTCATAACGTATGTATCTCCCATAACTCAGAAAGATCAGGCAAAGAACCTTATATGAGACTGCTATATAGTTTCTGACCAGTCCCATTTTTTGATCATTCGGCCGGCTAAGAGGATCGGGACTGCGCCCTTATAATAATAATAATAACATCTAGTTGTCCACCTCCCTTTTTTATTGCAATCATTAGTACCAAATTTATATATATATATAAGCTAAGAAATATGTAAATCAAAATTATAATTTATATACGTTACGAAAAAATAAAAATTAATGAAAATGACTCCCGTACGAACCGGGATATTTAATTTCAAATTTTGTAGTTTTGAATCATTTTCGACTTGCCTTGAGTCACTATAGTGACTGAGTGAATCAGTTCACTAAAAGTAGAATAATTCGAGGATATAAGTTTAAATGATGTGCAGCAAAAATTGTGTATAACTTAATAGACCGTACATCATCGACTGGATTCAATGCTATATTATTGCTTATTGACGTTCTGCCGGAACCCACTTATGCTTCCTACATTCGAAAAGTGATTCAACGTCGATAGGGATAGGACTCTTCAGTCCGGGAGCCCTTCGAAAGGAACCAAAGGTTCACGGATGATACAAGATGTCAATAGGCTCTTTCTTACAAAATTACAAATTATAGACTATCTCTCTATTACAAAAATTCCATAGTTATTTTTTTCCACCTTGCTTTTCTGCTATACATCTGCCGAAAATTTCGAATACTCTTCATATGAAATAGAATTTTTTAGAAAAGTTGACTGCCTATTTATTATAATTACACTTTTAGAAATTTATTTTCAACTTTTACTTGTGACTATCCGTTAAAATTTGCGTATTTATCTCAGGAAATAACAGATTTCTAAGTAAATAACTTTACAAAGCTCTTGTTAGTGCTGCCATCTATTATCCCTCATTTGAACAAATTTGCATTTAATTACACGTATTGGTACCAAACACAGATTGAATATTGCCATTTGTTAAAATTCAGATCATCTCTAATTTTATTGTACTTCACAGCATACTCGAACAGTTCTTAAAACTGAAATTTTTTTGAAGCATTTCACCATATGTATCATACGCTGACCCAAAAATTAATTTATTGCAGGGAGGTGAATGATGAAAATGTCATTTCTAGAGAACTTACTTTCACCTACAATACAGATATTGTATCTCTTCAAGTAAGTATCTATTATATGTTTGATTCAGAATGCAAATTGTGTAAGGAGTAAAAAATTATTTCCACACGTTATATGTTATCCCATACGGAAGACCATTAAAAAAAAAACAGAGCTTAAATTGCGCCGGAGTCCGGGTCCGGTGCTTCTTAGTTTTGGGGATATATTCTAATTCTAGCCGGATCGCACTGGAGCCCTAAATATCATGGCTCCGGCACTTTTTTGATGAACTGAACAATTATTTCAGTCGAAATTTGATCTCAAAAATTTTATTTTGAGCAATAAAATTACATAAAAAAACGCTTATTAAATTTTTATTTACCTCTTAACATTTCATTTAATTTTAATTATTTAATTATTTTAATAAATAATAATAGATCAATTATAAATTAATTAAATAATAATATAAATTAAATAATAATGAACAAAATATTAATTATCAATATCTCTTAAATAAATTAAATTTGATACTCATTAACTATTAATTTTAAATTGTTAATGATTTAATAGTCATTTAATTATTATTAACTTATATTTTTAATTTAATTATTTAATTTTTTAAAAATAATAGATCAATTATAAATTAATTAAATAATAATTATAATATTAAATATAATCAAACAAATATTAATTATCAATATCTCTAAATAATTATTAATTGATACTCATTAACTATTGAATTTTTAAATTGTTAATGATTTTAATAGTCATTTAATTTATTTATTAACTCTTGTTCCTCTTTCCCGACGATCTTCCATAGGGATCCCGCACTTCTACTTTTAGAAATTAAACGCTGAAAAAATTATCAGGAAAATAAGGCTTTAAATAAAGATTCTTCCTTTTCTTTACTGAGAGCAAATGATATTTAAATTAATAATTATTTTTACGCCATCTGATTATTTTTAATTTGACTAAAAAAGGCAAAATTTTGTGTATTTTTGTTTCATTTCTTGAAGATTTTAATTATTGCTATTTGACTTTTAAAACTTTCAAAAGTTTAGTTTATAAATTTCTATTTTTTTTAGACGGATTTTCCATTTCTAGCAAAATTAATGCATAAGGTGAGTCATATTCATATACTATATTTTGATTTGTTTAGTTATTTTAACTTGCTACACAAAATTGATCTAATACTAGAAATTATATTTTTCCATATCTCTCTCTCTCTTAAATTCAAGCATTTAACAAGTGTAGTGTAACTTTTTCTTATCTCTTTCTTACCTTTCGATTTCTGCATATATTTAATGAATGATTATCGACGATAAATGATAATCGATGATGATGCCTTTATTTTCAAGCGGGAGCTTTAATTTATTTCTAGCTAATTTCCTGTTCAATACTTGATGTTTGGGAATTTTAGAATAAGTGGTTTGGTTTGGTTTGGTTTAGTTAATTATACCAAAGCACACTAGGGTTATCTGTCTGAGGAAAGAAATGCCTTCGTGAAGGACTTTCTGAGGTAAACTGGCTCGTACACACGTTACACAAGGAGAAAACCACGAAAACACCATAGCAACAAGCCCGTTCGCCTTAAATCGAGCCCAGATCGGAACTACCAGTGTTCAACGATTTGACCGCTCAGCTGTCTCACAGTAACTATATTTTTAGCGATTTGCATAAACTTTTATCCTACACAATTTTTTTTTTTTTAGACTGCATCTGCTATATGGGAGAAAAATGTTTACATTACGAAATATCAAATTCTGCTTCCTTCATTCGTCATTATGAAAAACATAGTTTATTTCTTTCTTGCTTTATTTCATGCTATATTTTTAATATCCACATTTAATACTTCAAAAATGCAAATATACATCGTGTCGCCGTAAGTACATATCCGGCCTTTTTTTATCATAGCTGTCGGCAATTTACATATATTTCCAGTTTAAAAAAATGTTTCAAATGATGGGAATCTTCATTCTTTGGCATTTTTAAGCCAAATTGCCAAAACGCTGGCCGAATTGCTTGTTTTTGCATAGAAACTCTAATTTTAATTCTAAAAATTGTTCTTTAAATTGTTTTAACTGTATTTATGTTTTACATTTTTTCCATATTTTTCAATTTTTAATAAAGTTATTTTGAGGTTTCATGTGTCTTGCCTTGTCGCGAAGTGAGAACTGAATTAATTGAATGAGAAAATATATTTCTAATGAAATTCGATGAAATAAGTTTAAACGAAATGTAGGAAAATTGTGTATAAGTTAATATTTCGTACAAGGAAGTTATATGGTGTACACATCAGATTTTTTTCCCTTTCCTTTTTGACAATATTAACTATCGTAGCTTTAGATATCTGAAAACCATGGCTTTCACAGCGTTTTTAATAACTAGGTACGAATAATTTATTTCGAAAAGAGCACAAACATGCCTTCCATCCATTGTCTCTTTAAGAGCGCTATTTTGCATGAAAACAAAACAATTAAATAGCAAATGTTAATTTATGCTTTCAAAAATGTAGTAGAAGTTAAGTGCGAACGGCCTGTGTATTTAACGAATTTTTGGGATAGAAATGTATTCAATTCACGCGCTAATTAATAAATTTTGAAATATTGTATCACTTAGCCTTTTACTTAACTGAATCTGGAAAAAAAATTTAAATAATGCATAACTGAGTATGCTTAAAACGAACTATATTCTTTTTCGCAGATACCTCAAGAAGTGGATGCTCTCACATTGCAAAAGATCCTACGTTCCAGCTGGCGCTGTAAGTTTTTACTTAGTATTTCTTTATAAAAAATGATTTAGAATTTGTCAATATTTCATAAAAACCGGTGCATATTTAACGTTTTCCTCCCCTCAGAGAGCTAAAATTGTTTTCTTTATTTTCAAAATTAAGTGCTTTGGTATAAATCAGAGATTCTCAACCAGTGGTACGCGTACCACTGGTGGTACCCAAAAGAAAAATAGGTGGTATGTAAAGAAACAAGGTATTTTTAACTGTTAAATTCAAAAATCTCATGAAGAAAAAGAACAATTGATAGAAATTTCGTGTGATCAAACTGTAATTGAAGATTTCAAAAATAACACACTTGTCAGCTTTTGGCTGAACCGAAAAAAAGAATTTAAAGGCATTTCAAATAAAGCTGTTACATTTTAATTGCCTTTTTGTACAACCTATTTGTGTGGACAAGGCTATTCTTCCATGTTATATTTGAAAAATAAATACAGAACAAAATTAAAAGTGGATCCTAATTTACGGTTAAAACAAAGTGAAGTAATTCCAGACATTAAAAAAATTATCTCTCTCAAACAGGCGCAAATTTCACAATAAAATTTAGAATTAAACATGATAGCTTAAATTTTCATAATTAAAATGGTAACCAATTTTTAATTTAATATTTTTTATGTTTGCATATTTAATGGTAATAGCCAATATGTTGTGCAAATCACAACATATTGACGCTGTAATATTTCTATTGCCATTTACAATAGAAATATTTTTATTGAGAAATTGAGAAATAATTATTGTAAAATGTGGTAGTACTAAAGATTTTAAATTTTTACTTAGAAGGTATATGCGTTAGTCAAAAGATTGAGAACCGCTGCTTTAAATGAACTGATAGTTGTAAATAATTATAAATAAATTATGGTACTAAATAATTTGTGTAACCTATTAAAATGTAACGTTTATTGTTGCAGCTCTGAACCTCTTATGTGAAAAACCAAGTCTAGAACTCTGCAGGAATCTTATTATGCTTCGAGATGTATCCTTTTAGATATATACATTAATATATAATTTGCATTTAATTACTATGAGGGTATTTGTGTATAGTCTAAAATTTTCCTAGTAGTTTGTTAAATATTGCACATTATATTAAATTATAATGTTACAGAAAAATTATACAAATGTATTATAATATTTAACATATTTACTTATCACAAATCGACTTCTGGATTCTACCAGCAAATATATTCCAAAATGGATACCAGAGCCTAGACAAGGCTGGGACAAATAAGGCACTTGCCTCAGCTTAAAAATTAGAAGGAGCGTGAAAATAATTACGGAAATCTAGACAGTCATTTAAAACAATTATGATTACTAACTTTCAACTTGATTGCTAACCATACTACAATAAGTGTCAACGAATTCTGTGTTACAAATTATCCGGCTGAATTAAGAGAAGAGTTACTAACATCCATTTATTAGCTCAAAAGGGAATATTAGTCCCAAAATGAGATTTTGCGTTGGTTCACTATAAATGGCGTATCATTCTTCAAATTGTCGCCGCCAGACATTATCGCCCTGCATTATTTTTAAAGAAATTAAATGATGAAGAATCTGTCTGTATGTATGTATAAATGTCCACCTATTGTGAAAAAACGACCGTCCCTAGAGCCATACAGTTTTCAGTAACGAAGTCCTCCACCCAAACATGGGCACCTGGAAGCCCAAATTTTGAGTTTCGAATTTCTTTTATTATTTTTTCCATATTTTGTAAAACTTAACGAATTTTTGATTAACAAACTCGACGATTTGAAAGCAAGTAGTGGCAACACACTGTACGGAATAAAACATTTCTAGCTCCAGCCAACGACATTCAGTAAAAATGTAAGATATTTATCTTTCAATTTTAATTAACAAACTCGACTCTATGGAAACAATGTGTTGCCACTGCCGGAAATAAAATACGTTTATCTTCCACTCGCCTGCGCGTTGCCATTCAGTAAAACCTAAAATACTCTCAAATTTAATCTGAAAGCTTGCTGAGTAATAAACTAAGCGGTTTAAAATCAATAAACAGAATTCTTCAGAATAATTTTTTGTAATGTGATTTGTGCGTATTTTTTCTAATTTTTAATGCGATTGATTTAAATAAACATATATTAAAATCATGAGGTGCCTAATTAAAAGTATCCAATTAATTTATCCAAGTAATTAAAGTTTTTAAGAAATGACATTAGCTGGATTAATTACAGTTATTGTATACTTTTTCTGTTGTAAGATAACTATTTTAGGCGGCTGGCCAAGTGAGCAGCTATTTTTTAAAGAAGTAACATAGCGAATATAAAAATATCTGTGACAACCTCTAAAACTCTATCCGGAATTTTAAAGATATGGTGTATTAAAATATTTGTGATTTTGTCGCTGAATAGAGTTTTATGTGGAGCAAGTTTGAAGAACGTGATATTTAATAAAAAAAGTAAACACATTAAATTTTAATGATAAAAAGACAGAAAAAAATTTTACCCATCTTATTAAGAAAACTATATATTGATATGATAGACGGGGAAATACTGAAAAAATATTAAAATATTATCTCAACATGTAACACTGCATCCGGAAATCTAAACATATTCTATCATGCAGCATTTAAGAATTTCGCGATTGTGTTATATTATATATGGCCTGCGAAGAAAACGATGCTTAATAAAATCTTTAGGGGGGGGAAAAACAGGATTAGCAATGATATTCGCTATATTATTTCTTCAAAAGCCGCCCAAAATTATTATATTATCATAAAAAATAAAGAGTATATAATGATTTTAATGAGTCAAGCTACTGTCATTTTACTAGTGTATTATATATTTCTAATTAAACAGCTCACGATTTTAATAGATGTTTATTTAAATCTATGACATTAAAAGTATTCTTAAAAACTAAAACTGTTTCTATTGCTTTTAAATCGCTTAGTTTATTATTTCCACATTAAATTTGAAAATATCTTACTGAATGCTAAGACGTGGACGTGTGGAAGATGAAAAGATAAAAGTGTTTTTATTTCCGGCCTCCGGAGCATGTTTCTTTGATAGAGGCGAGTGGATAAATATGTTACATTTTCCCCAACAGCAACAATCTTGTGCGTCAGACTATTTCATTCTGTACAGTGTTGCCACTGCTCGCTTTCAAATCGTTGAGTTTGTTAATCGAAAATTCACTAGAGTTTTATAAAATGCGAAATAAATAATGAAACAAATTTTAAGCTCAAAATTCGGGCTTTCAGATTGAGGATTACCTTAATTAAAAGTTACCATACTCTAGACACCGTAGACTCTAGATACCGCCATTTTTTCCCAATGCGAATAACATACATACGTATATGGAGATTCTTTATTATTTAATTTCTTTAAAAATAATACACGGCGATAATGTTTATTGGCAAGAATTTGAAATGTGATGCGCCGTTTATAGTAAACCAAAGCAAAATCTCATTCCGTGGCTATAATATTCTATCTTTCAATAAGTATTTGGACACCTGTTATAAGAAAAACAAAATTCCTTCATATTCATTAGTTGCTAGAATTTCCACGAGCGGCATTTACAGCGTCATCCCTCCGGGGCATGCTTTCCACAAGTTCTTGTGTGACAGCTATTGGTATTTTTTCCACTCGGCTTGAAGAAGCCATGTAAGTTCCTTCACCGATGTTGGGCGGCTGTTGCACACCTTAATTTGGCGATCCAACTCGTCCCAGAGGTTCTCGATAGGGTTCAGATCTGGGCTGTGGATAGACCAGTCCATTTGGTTACCCCCATTGTCATCATACCAATCCATGATGTACCTCGCAGCATGACAGCTGACGTTGTCGTCCTGAAAGTAACATGGTTCCAACCCGTAAAACAGGCACAACGTAGCAAGCACGCTGTCATCTAAAATCGTGCATTATCATAAATTTGGACCAAGAGTCCTAGTCCATCATAATTCCACCTCCGCCGAACTTTACTGTGGGCAAATGCATTCTGGCAGGAGGCACTCTACAGGAAAACGCCAGACCCGCACACTGCCATCCGAATGGAGAGAAGACATTTCTACTGATCTACGGTGTAATGTCGACGTCCTTTGCGCCGCATTAACTGGGTAGCACTAATTCGTGCTTTTGTGAAGTTTGCAGCTGTCAGTGACTCTATTTTTAACGGGAAGTTATTATCGAAAATATGTAAATACCAATTTTAAAACACCGATAAGCGTAATAATGCAATTACTGCTAGAAAAAGAGTTTCTTTTAACACATATTTGCGCCATCAAGCATTTGAAAAATGTTTTTCCGTTTCCTGTTCTTGGGAAAACTTATTACTAATATACTCGTATATATACAAAATTATATTCTTTTTCCTCGCATTTTTCTCTTCTTAAACTAAACCTGTAATATATAATTGCAGTTTAGTTTCGCGTTTTTGTGTACCTGTCTAGTTATTATAATGTTACGAATAACATCATGTCATAAAGAAAGATGTGTAACAATGCAATTTTTTGATGGAAATCTGAAAAACTCCAGAAGGGGGCTAGAATGTTATTAGGGTTATATTGGAATCATTATGCACCGTTAACATAGTGTTACAGCAGTATATTTTAAGAATCAATATCTGGGAATGCGTCAGAAACATGTATACACATTTTGAACTGTCATAAAAAATTTATTTGCCAACCTACAAGGTTGAATTTCTGGGAAAAGTAAGACTGTAGTCTAATTTGAAACTACGTACACTTTCTGGACAAATAGAATATTCCAAATGGTGGTTAAAGTAAATATTGTAAATATTCAAAATGGTGTCCTTCAGCATCGATGCATTTCTGAATAAAAGTCGCGACTGATTCCGTACTTCGTACCAAAGTGTCCAATGGGATTTCAGCGCACACCGCTTGGATCTCAACCCGAAGTGTGTTAAGGTTACGTGGTTTACGCTGCTACACTTCATCTTTTACTGGTGTCGCGAGCGTGCATGAAACTCGATTCGTCCCCTACGGCCTTTCCACTAGCCTGGTACATTTTGATCCAGGTATGCTGGCATATCCGTATGATATAGTGCGGAGAGTCGCCATACTGTTGGTAGTGAAACTTGTCATTACCGAACTAATGGAAGGGAAAATGGAATCGGTAAGTAATTTTAGGTACTTTTCTACAGTTACAGTACCTTCAAAACGAAAAGGCCCAGTGAGTCCCTTAGGAGGCAGATCAGCGCCGCACATTTACAGCAGGCAAATTCACACCGTCTTCAACAGTTATGTGGAGATTATCTCGAATCCAGTGCATACAGTTATGCCTAGACAGTTCCATTAAGTTTAAATTGTGCTTCATCTAACCGAGCAAAGCTAGTTGCATCAGCCTTGGAATGTACGACGCAACTTGCCTTTCTTCAGATTGCGTAACTACGCCACTCTCATGTGAATTTTTTCCCTTGGAAGATATTTTTGGTGGACGCTGAAACAGTTCCAGCACCGCAACTGATGATTCGTCAGCAGCTGTGAGAAATCGCCCTGATCCGCCTTTATGCACAATACATACTGTTTCGTGAATCTCAATTTTTTCTTTTAGACGTATAATGTTAACCTTAGGTGGATCTGTCCCATATTCACATCTCCATTGCCTCTGAAGTGCAGCAACATCCACAAACTTCCAGTACCACTTAATAACCTGCTTCCGCGCTTGAAAGTTCTTGAAACGTACGTTCGCCATGTCGAAGTTACTCTCTTGGCCCTAAATGGGTTGTGCAGCTAGATCGACAATTTGGCTGCTACTTGCTGAGGAAACATAACATTACTTTGCATTACAAATTTAACATTGTAGGTAGGAAAATGAATTTTCTATGACAGTTCAAAGTGTGTATACTTTTTTCTGACGCACGCTGTAAAGTAATGTAACGTATGTTCTGAAGTTTGGCATGTTCTTGATATCATTTATTAAAATTTTGAATTGCAATTTATTATTTAATTTTATCAGATAAAATTATTGAAAAAAGCATACACCAGTTTTTTTTTTTTTTTTTTTTTTTTTTAGACCTTAACATTTTTCTGCAGCCTTTGATTACAGGTAAAATAAACAAGAATGAACTACCAGGTTTGCTTTATACGTTACAGTACTGGCGGGTAAGTTTTTATTTGTTTTTAAATTATTTGTGAAAATATCATACTAATTCACTATGATATCATAGTAATACAAATAGTTCTGTAAGATGTATTTTAGCAATAAATATAAATTTTTCTTTCTTATATAACTTATTGCTTGATTTTGATAAATTAGGAGAGACAATTTAAAATAATATATAATTTAATCGAGTAATATAAATTATTTTGAAGTTATTGCCAAGAACAGAACGCAAATGAACATAAAATTAGAGCTTAATATATTAGCATTGTTTGTTAAATTTGTACTACTGTTCTCGAATTCTGTTGATGCAGCTTAACCTTGCTGTTTATCTCTTATTTATTTGTACTCTGTAGATTAAAAGTCAGTATTATTTATCGGAGTCAGATAAGCATAGTTAAGTTCTACAACTGAAGGATTACTTCTGTCTCGCTCAGCTGTTTCAAATACCCGGACAGATTTTACTTAATGCATTCCTCAAAACTGATTAATACCCATCGGTCATTTAACTATCTTATCACCGAGAACTTTATCCAAGGTGCACACAGGGGAAACCGATTTTACACCCTCGAGAAAGGAGAAGTCCTTTTTCGTCGAGAACATCGGGGAAGAGGGCTCCGAGATTCTTCCACCCCTTTTCGCTTACTACCAAACCTTTTCGGAAGTCTTCCAGCTAACCAATATTCTTAGTTTCCCCATGCCGCATAGACACTATACACTTAAGGAAACAAGTCTTATCCAAAATTTGAAACCACGACGAACGATAGGTAGCAAGCAGCGCTCAGGATGTGCAGTTACTATTTTTGTTTTAATAGACTGGAGATATTTCAACCAAAAGAGGGAAAGGCACTATTCTTGTAGATTATTATGACCAATATCTCTGTCAGCGATATAAACCAGAAAAAATAGAAAAATGTCAGTCTTTGGATTACCAATACAAGTAGATGATTTATTTCACCATGAAATGTTTATCTCAAATACAAGAAGTTCAAAGCTGTCATTTCAGATTTACAGAGCGACAGTATTAAAATCACATACACAAAATGAGTATTTTTTCCTCAATATTTTGATGTTTGATTAACCAAAAAAAGAAAAAAAGTCTGAAAGTTTTCAGATTTTATATTACGCCCAAAGAGACCTTTTTTTATTTTCACACACATAAATTTGGGTTAATGCCCCTTCGGTTAAAATTATTTAAAAACTGCATATCTTTAAAATTTCCGATAGACAGTCTTGCACGCTGGAGCTAAAAATATTTTATTTCTTACAATGTTGCCGCTGATCGCTTTGAAATCGTTGAGTTTTCTAATCAAAATCCGTTTTTACAAAATATGGAGTAAGATAATAAAAGAAATTTGAAATACAAAATTCGGACTTCGGACTGCCCATGTTCGGATGGAGGACTACATTACTTAAATTTGATGCCTCAGATAATATTATTTTTTCCCACTACGCATTATTTAATTTCTTTAAATATAATACAGGGCGATAATATTTGGTGGCAGCAATTCAAAAGTGATTCAACGTTTTTAGTGGCTTGACGCAAAATGCTGTTTCCAGACTAATAGCCTATTCTGGGCTAATGCCTTTCTGGGCTAATAATAAAAGTGTAGAGTGCCTTTGATAGATTTTTGAAGATAGTGGGTTAACTTTTGATAATGCAGTTCGATTATTATATTTCGTTAGTCTAACCCACACTCCCTGTTCTGCTTCAGTATGCAGAATATTTTTTAAAAAATACAGAAAACCGTCGAATTAATATATTTTTATCATTGTTATCGTAAAAGATATAGAAGAACCTGTTTTATAAGCAGTGAAATTTCAAAACTTTATAATTGACACATCTTAGATGTTAAATAGTCGAAAAAAATCGAATAATTTTTGAAATCTCGATAAAAAAAGTCAAGAACTTAATTTTAAAAGGTTTTTGCTTTCGCGCTCTTCTATGGTTCAAACAGTAAAATTCTAAGATTTTTTAATTCGGTCTATATCAGGACTAATGTTCGTGCATACTTGGCAAACATTAATGGGTAAAACAATGTTGACTCGAACAGTGAGGAATGCAGCTATGTTCTTAAGAATGGCTAGAAGAATTACAACGTAAGAAGGGTGTAAAAGACCCTTTTATTGAAATCACTGTTTACAGCAACTCCCAACTCGGGAGTGATAACAGAAGAAATAATAATCGCGTTTGGGTCTTGAACAATCCAGCAATTTTTAAAAGTAAAACTTCAGTAGACATTTAAATAGTTGCTGTCACAGAGCTTAAACGCGAGATTGGCCTATTTATGGTGCGTAGCAAGCCTTTGCTAAGTACTAACTTATTTAAATCACTTCTATCAGTATTTGAGGAATAGTAAGGCGTAAGAATTTAAATACTAACTATTCTGGCTAACGTCCACCGAGCCGACGTGGTCTGAGACTAAAAGCTCTCTCACACTTGAGAAGTTTTTCACTAACCTTAAATACAAAACTTGGCTCCAACACAAATTAGCATAAAGCTGAACCGTGCGCTTATTTTGAAGCAAAGTTGAAATAAGAGTTCACAGGAAAGGGTAACTTAAAATAAAAAGAAACTTGGTTAGTTTAACTTAAAATCTTACAGTTAAAAGCTATATGCGAAAAATCATTTCATCATTAAATTAAAAAATATATGCAAATCGAATTTTTAAAGCGTCACTTCATGCCACTGTATAATTGTCATGCAAAATTTGAGCTCTATAGATTAACAGGAAACAGCATAAAAATCGGCGATGAACTTTTAACCAATAGCGGCCAACACCATGAATGAGCTAAAGAAGAGCGTATAAAAAAGCAAAATCTTAGCTCAATAGCTTATCAGAAAATCGTATAAAAATCGATGACAAACTTTTACCATAGCTGCAAACACCATGAAAGGGGGCTATGCTGTAAAATTATAGGGTATGTCCTTCTTATGTAGCATAAACTTAGACCAGAACCCTAAAAGACAATTGGTGAGTTCCCACGATATCTTATAAGTATCACTGAGACGGTGTAACGGCCCTTTTTATTAATCCAAATAAATTTTAACAGTCGGAAGCAACTGGGCACTGGTGCCCTCCGAATTTTTTATTAATCCATTACGGAAAGAGTCGGAAGAGCAACTGGTGCTTACAGAAGCCAAAAGTTTTAGCTCAAAACAAATGCCGTCTCTGTGGCTTATAAGGTATCTTATAAGTACCACAACGGACCTTTTTATTAACCCAAATAAATTTTAACAGTTCGGAAAGCAACTGGTGCTTACAGAGTCAAAATTTTAGCTAAAAACAAACCGTCTGTGGCTTATAAGGTATTATAAGTACCACAGAACGGCGCGTAACGGACCTTTTATTAATCCAAATAAATTTTAACGTCGGAAGCAAGGTGCTACAAAGCCAAAAGATTTAGCTCAAAACAAATGCCGTCTCTGTGGCTTATAAGGATCTTATAAGACCCAAAGACCTTTTTATTAACCCAAATAAATTTTACAGTCGGAAGCAACTGGTGCTTACAGAGTCAAAGTTTCAGCTTAAACAAACCGTCTCTGTGGCTTATAAGGTATCTTATAAGTACCACAGAAGGACGGACCTTTTTATTAATCCAAAATAAATTTTAACAGTCGGAAGAAAGGTGCTTACAGAAGCCAAAGATTTAGCTCAAAAAAAGCCGTCTCTGGGCTTATAAGGTTCTTATAAGTACCCAGACCTTTTATTAACCCAAATAAATTTTAACAGTCGGAAGCAACTGGTGCTTACAGAAGTCAAAAATTTCAGCTTAAAACAAACGCCGTCTCTGTGGCTTATAAGGTATATTTAGTACAAGAGACGGCGTAACGGACCTTTTTATTAATCCAAATAAATTTTAACAGTCGGAAGCAACTGGTGCTTACAGAAGCCAAAAGATTTAGCTCAAAACAAATGCCGTCTCTGTGGCTTATAAGGTATCTTATAAGTACCACAACGGACCTTATTAACCCAAATAATGTACAGTTGGAAGCACTGGTGCTCCAGAAGTCAAAGTTTCAGCTTAAACAAACGCCGTCTATGTGGTTATAAGGATCTAAGTACCACAGAGACGGCGTAACGGACCTTTTTATTAATCCAAATAAATTTTAACAGTCGGAAGCAACTGGTGCTTACAGAAGCCAAAAGATTTAGCTCAAAACAAATGCCGTCCCTGTGGCTTATAAGGTATCTTATAAGTACCACAACGGACCTTTTTATTAACCCAAATAAATTTTAACAGTCGGAAGCAACTGGTGCTTACAGAAGTCAAAAGTTTCAGCTTAAAACAAACGCCGTCTCTGTGGCTTATAAGGTATCTTATAAGTACCACAGAGACGGCGTAACGGACCTTTTTATTAACCAAATAAATTTTAACAGTCGGAAGCAACTGGTGCTTACAGAAGTCAAAAGTTTCAGCTTAAAACAAACGCCGTCTCTGTGGCTTATAAGGTATCTTATAAGTACCACAGAGACGGCGTAACGGACCTTTTTATTAATCCAAATAAATTTTAACAGTCGGAAGCAACTGGTGCTTACAGAAGCCAAAAGATTTAGCTCAAAACAAATGCCGTCTCTGTGGCTTATAAGGTATCTTATAAGTACCACAACGGACCTTTTTATTAACCCAAATAAATTTTAACAGTTGGAAGCAACTGGGTTTACAGAAGAAGTCAAAAGTTTCGCAACCCAAACGCCGCTCTGTGGTATAAGGTATCTTATAAGTACCACAGAGACGGCGTAACGGACCTTTTTATTAATCCAAATAAATTTTAACAGTCGGAAGCAACTGGTGCTTACAGAAGCCAAAAGTTTTGGCTTAAAACAAAGGCAATGGATAAACTAAAATTAATGCAATTAAATACAGCCTAACGGCTCACATTAGCGCTCAAACTGGTTCTGATCAAAGTCGGCGTAACAAACCTAATGGCAAGAATAACTGAAAACCGCAGAATACTAATCGAGTGAATCAACTTTAGCAACGTGGTCTTCAAGCAGGC